CTTTGTTGAAAGGACACAGTACTAATAGCTTGATTTAAACTCTGTAGCTTTCTAAAACAGCTTTGCATTTGGCAAACTTTTATCTCTGCTTGTATGAATGATGCAGATTTCCTCTTGGATTCTCATGAGTCTGGTCTGACATACATGAGCAGATATAGAAAAAAGGCAAACACCAGTTGTATTGACACAGGTAAATTAAGGGAGAAGGAGGTTATTCATGTTACTCTGAAGATTACAGGTTCAGTCCTCAGACTCTCCAGTAAGGAAGGGGTTGTAGTTAGGTGCAAGAGCACATGTTTTGAACGTCATTGTGATTATTACTATCAGTGCCATTTTTCTAGAAAAAGAGGTACCAGAACTCACCATGAACGCCTCCCTTCTTCTCTTATAGCAATGGTGCCCACCTGAGAGGTGCCAGAACAGAGTTCTGGCTGGGGGGGGGGGACCCTGTGTGGCGATCACACAGGGTCCCCGGACGTTTAACGGTCTATTGATCCCTGTGCCACCACTGTGCTCGCTTCCCCGCTGCCACCAACCCATTACTCTCAGGTTCACACTGAATCCAGACAGTTGTTAAACTTGAACCAAATAAACAAGTTTATTTTATAAGTTTTAACAAGTTTGTGGTTTCTCAGATAATATTCTTGTCAGTTTCTTAACTTTAGTTTCTGTACCGGCCTATACCTTCCTAATACCTTCTGACTGATTATCTCAACTGTTTGACTGACTCCTCTTAACAGATTCTCTCACTCTCCCACATCAGACTAGCCCAACCCACAGACTTATCCTCTCTCTGTCTCTCCTCTAACTTCAGACTGACTTCTTAACAACTCTAACTCTAACTCCTCCCCTTGGGTTCCTATTGGTTAGTCATTTTACAATTAGTTAACCTGTTCCTTATGAACCCAGTATGATGTCACACACCTAGGATGGCAAACGCCACACCCTGATTAATGTTATTATTTAAATTTATATACTACCCTTCTTGAAAAGACCACACAGCAATTTACAACATGGAAAAATCAAAAGAGTTTTATAACTGCTAAAGTTAACACATGACAGAAAACAGCTTCTCATGAACGATAGCTTTTTATAACAGCCGCAACATAAAAAACAAGAAAGGAGAAAATCAGCAGCAGGGCATCTAAAATACAAAAACAGTGCACAAATGCACAATTTTCTCTCTATGTAAAGTAGCTCCTAACTCCAAGCCAGCCATAGAAAATGATATATGCTCACCTGGGAGCTTTCCTTTCCTCCCAGGCCTTATCTGTGCTATGGGGAAAACAACTCTTTGGCACTCAGTCAGAGCAAACAGCAATTTGGGTTTCCCCCAGATTGCCATTTGTTCCATTCTATTATTGAAGAGTGGGTTTTCTCTTGGAAAATAGCAGGGTAAGGGGGAAAACTGCTCAGATTCACGTTTTCTAGCCACGGCACAAGCCGAAGTGTGGTTGAGCCCCCAGTCTCTCACCCTGGGAGATCCTCACTTCCCCCACCTCTTGATTTGGGGGCCTTCCACCATCTATTTGCCGCTTTCATGCCCCAAATGATGTCCCATGCAGAAGGTCTTCTCAATTCCTGGCATCTCCAGGGATGGCTGGGAAAAAATCAGTTGTCTGAAATTCCAAAGAACTAGTCAATGTGGACAAGACTGAGTGAGATGGGCCAGTGGTCTGACTCTCTAAGTTCATGACTTTTGTTTCCAGTGTTCCTAAGGACCAGTGAACCCCATCTGCTGAAGAAAACTTGTATCTGCTCCACCTTTAAGGTACCATGCAGCTTGAAAATTCTGTATTTCTCCGTAGTGTATAGACCTGAATTATTTTTCTTAAGTGACGCTCTGGCGGATTGCAAGAGCAATTTGTTGTGCTGCGCTTTTAGACTATTTTAAGAGAATGTGCCTACTTCACTTAATTACACCCCCTTCTCCCCTTTTATCCTGCACACCTGCTGCACACTTCTCCAAAAGGGAAATAAGACGATGTGAGGCCATTCAGCAAGCAGTCACTGTGTCTGGATAAACAGATTGTTCATTTTCTGGAAATGATGTGTAAATGCCACAAGTAACTCGGCGGCCCATCTTTAAACACCCTGTCCACATCCTGTCTCCATGATTACCATGTTTTAAAAGACCTATTAGCAATAATAGTCCAAGAGCAGGATATTGAGTTCAAATTAATGGCCAGTGAGAATTTAATGGCCCGCAGCTTATTTCGCTTGGTCATTAATCCCTAGGCATTGGCCAATGCCTTCTGTTTATTTATTTGTTTATGTTTAAAGATCTGTCATGGGGGTTGTATTTGTTTTCTTGCAATTTGACAGTGCTGTGCAGTGGGCATGACTGAGAGAAAATAAGCTGTACTTATTAGGTCACAAGCTTAGCTTCAGTTCAGCAAGAGCTTACTGATGTGGTATGAATAGAATTAATAAGGGCAAGATAGTGATTTGGTGGCAGATGAGTGGCCATGTGTTCTCCTGAGTTGTCTACCCCTTGTATCTTGTTCCATCACACTGAGCCGACATGGTGGAGCAGCTGAGGTTGGCTTCGGATAGGGAAAGCTTACACAACGGTCTGGGTGAGGGGCAAATCACATAACCTCCAACATTTCTCTGCTGAAAATAGGGACTTCCTGTTCCATACCCTCCAACATTTCTGCAATGAAAATGGGAACATCACTATCTCTCAGCCTAGCCTACCTCACAGGATTATTTAGGATCAGGGTGTGCATAGGTGTGAGAGCCTTGAAGGAAGGCAAAAAACATGTGAAAGAAGTACATTTATGATGCTGTAACAGGGATGCGGGTGGCGCTGTGGTCTAAACCACTGAGCCTCTTGGGCTTGCCGATCAGAAGGCCGGCGGTTTGAATCCCCGCGACGAGGTGAGCTCCCATTGCTCGGTCCCAGCTCCTGCCAACCTAGCAGTTCGAAAGCATGCTGAAAAGTGCAAGTAGATAAATAAATACCGCTCCAGCGGGAAGGTAAACGGCATTTTCGTGCTCTGCTCTGTTTCGCCAGAAGCAGCTTGGTCATGCTGGCCACATGACCTGGAAACAAAAGCCGGCTCCCTCGGCCTGTAAAGCGAGATAAGCGCCGCAACCCCAGAGACTGCGACTGGACTTAACTGTCAGGTGTCCTTTACGTTTATCTTTTTTAACAGATCTACTCCTTGTAGAAGATTCTCTTCAAGTGACATATTCAAAGGGGTTTGAGGGAAATGAAGCATTTTGATAAGACAAGCAAGCAACATTCTCGGGACCATGATAGGTGGTCCATTTGGAAAGTGTTGGAACTAGGTCCATTGGTCATCATTGACTCTGGCTACACCTGCTGTGGACCCTGCCTTCCACCCTAACAGTCCTCTTGGGACATATATACCATATTTTTCACTCCATAAGATGCACTTTTTTCTTCCTAAAAAGTAAAGGGAAATGTTTGTGCGTCTTATGGAGTGAATGTGTGGTCCCTGGAGCCGAATTGTCCAGGGGCAAAAAGCAGATCATGCTTTTTTTTCTTTTGAAAGAGGGAAGTGGGTGTTGAAACAAAGCCGCTGATCGTTTGCGACTGGGGAGTGAGATAAGGGACGCTAGAGATAAAGGAGGCTGCCTGGGAGGGGGGAGGTGAAGGCAGCAAACTTGCAAGGGGGGGAAACAGGAAGACTAAAGCAATAAGGAGAGAAATTACAAGAAAATGAGGAGCAAAAAACTGCTCCATCTAAGGAAAAGATACTACACAAGGCAAACAAGAGGGAAGGATGTGTAGAAAGGAAACAGCTGATCAGTGGGATTGGAAGAGCGATAAGGGATGCTAGTGGAGGCTGCCTGGGAGGGGGGAGGTAAAAGCCCATGGATCCTCAGGATTTTTGCATTGGGTCACCCCAAATTCACCATCAGATCACATGTCTGTGGTCACTGCATGAACCACAAAGATCATACATCCACTGTTTTGTTCAGAATATTTTTTTTTCTTGTTTTCCTCCTCTAAAAACTAGGTGCGTCTTATGGTCAGGTGCCTCTTATGGAGCGAAAAATACGGTATGTCTGAGCATGCATACGCAGCATGCATACACAGGAAGCATAACAAGGGACTGATGGAAGGGCAAGATGAGATCAAATGGTGAAGGAAAGGAGTTGTGCTCCAGCATAGGAAGTTGCCTTATACTGAGTCAGAGCACTGGTCCACCTAGCTCAGTAATGTCTGGCAGCAGCTCTCCATGATTTCAGATCTCTCCCAGCCCTTCCTGGAGATGCCAGGAATTCAACATGGGGCCTCCTGTATGCAAAGCACATGCTTTACTATTGAGCGTTGGCCCTTTCCCAAATCCCATCAGGTTGCGATGCATCTTTGAGCCTTCTTTTAAATCACGAAATACGACAACTAAGAAGCCCTCAAACATGACAGTGAAATGGTGCCATGTGCTTTTATGATGACGCAACAAGCCAGGCACAGCTATTTGCCTCAAGACAGAACAAAGCTCAGCTCCGTAAGAGGTATTGACTGGCACTGTGTGAAACCCAGGACACTGAAGTCATGGATCTCTTTTTACACAGAACAATAGCATTTGAAGATTTCAGGCACGACCAACTCAGATGAGCCCCATTTTGCTGCCCTAGGCAAAAATCAATTTTCCTCTCCCTCACATACACACATAAGCACACACGTTCATCCACATTGTGCTTCATATAACAAAGGACTGAAGACTGCCTTATCTGTTCAAGAAATGGCTGCTCATTTTGCCTGTTCCTTTTTCCAGGCAAGTGAATGGAGTAAATGGAAGGAACTTGAACAGAGTAAAAGAAATGGGACAGCATTCACACAGAACTCCTGGGATTTTGCAACTTCATGCAGTCAGCCAGACTGACTGACAAGCTCTGATTTCCAGGAAAGGGAAGAAAAAGAAAAGGATCAGCTGGATATACAAATCTGGAGATTTGATGAACAGTTCTGGATGGTACAACCAATGATGGTAATGATGACAGCCAGTGATGGACAGGTGAGAGCCAGTGTGGTGTATTGGTTAGAATGTTGGACTGGGATCTGAGAGACCAGGGTTCAATTCCCCCCTACATTGGCTCCCAGTATGTTTCCGAGCACAATTCAAAGTGTTGGTGCTGACCTTTAAAGCCCTAAACGGCCTTGGCCCAGTATACCTGAAAGAGCATCTCCACCCCCATCGTTCAGCCCGGACACTGAGGTCCAGCACCGAGGGCCTTCTGGCGATTCCCTCACTGCGAGAAGTAAGGTTACAGGGAATCAGGCATAGGGCCTTCTCGGTGGTGGTGCCCGTCCTGTGGAATGCCCTTGCATCAGATGTCAAGGAAATACAGTGGTGCCTCGCAAGACGAAATTAATCCGTTCCGCAAGAGTCTTCGTCTAGCGGTTTTTTCGTCTTGCGAAGCAAGCCCATTGACGGATTAGCGCTATTAGCGCTATCAGCTGTTTAGCGGCTATTAAAGGCTTAAAGGCTTAGGGGATTAGCTGCTAAAAGGCTATTAAAGGCTATTAAAGGCTTAGCAGATTAGATAAAGGGGGGGAAAAGCGGAAAAAAAAATCTCAAGACTCGCAAGGTATTTTCGTCTTGCGAAGCAAGCCCATAGGGGAATTCGTCCTGCGAAGCAACTTCAAAATGGAAAACCCTTTCGTCTAGCGGTTTTTCCGTCTTGCGAGGCATTCGTCTTGCGGGGCACCACTGTAAACAACTACCTGACTTTCAGAAGACATCTGAAGGCAGCCCTGTTTAGGGAAGTTTTTTAAAAACAATTTAATTTGAAATTTCATGCAATGGACATGCAATGTGACAAGCCTTAATGTTTTCAGTTAGTCCCTGCATTTGGTGCAGGCAGGTATAGTATAGTGTGTTTGGGTTCTACTTCAGGATGGAGAAGCCATGCAGGGAAATGAGTGTTCAAGCAATCCCTGGATTTGCTGCCTGCACAATGCTATATTGTTAGTGTTCCTTCCTTGTTTTTCTTCAAGTCAGTAGCAGCTGGCAGAGTTGCAATGTTTAACTGACCTCCTGTCACCAGCATCACTGCAGTTTACCAGGAGGGAGTGGGCACAAGCTTGGCGCAGTGCCAGTGTATCATTGGGAGCACCAGATTAGCTCTGACACTGCATTTGCACCTTCCTGCCTCACCCCTCTCCCCCCAGATAAACCACAGTGCTTCTGGTGGTGGGAAGTCAGGTCAGCAGCCTTGCGCCGCTGACCGTTATTGCTTTTAGTCTCAGCCTAACCTACCCACAGGCCTGTTCTGGGGATTAAATGAAGAGGGGGAGTACCACATATGCTACCTTGAGTTTCTTGGAGAAAAAGAAATGCAAGAACCAAAACCAAACCAAACAACTGAACAAGGTACTTTTCAATAAACATTGTAAAGAATGGTGGGAAATGCCATTTCAGGTGTCTAGCCTCTGGCGTATTCCTCAATAAAACGGTGCTACGAAACCTAAGGCGTCTCCCACACTTACTGATGTGCCATGATAGCTACAAACCTTTTGATGCTGAGAGTGGAACACTTGATTGGTGTTATAATGGTGGAACAATACATTCACTGAACATTTGTCCTGAACGTTTATTTGCTGGGGCAGTAAGACTTAAAACCGAGAAACACCAACCGCTCAGTCTTCTCACTCCTTGTTTGCCGGATTTGGGGAAGTTTCTGTGAGAGTTTCTCATACCCAGGGAAATGGTTTGCAGGCAGATGAAAAAAAGGAAAGCCATTGCAGGTTCAAGTAATACATTTGTTACCTGCCAAACTACGGTTCATTGCATTCCCATTTGTGTCTACTTTCACAGTACTAGGAAGAGCCAAAATTATTTCTCCAGGAAACAAATGAGGTACAAAGGAAACTTTTGTCAACAGACTGAAGCACTGTGTATTTATAAGCCAAGCAGCCAGAACTGCTTTAATATGTCACCCCAGTGTTTTACAGAATTTAGAGACAGTTGTTCTTCTTCCACTTTTCTGCCAAATATTTCATTATTATTATTAATTGAATTTATATACCGCCCTATAGCCACAGCTCTCAGGGCAGTCCACAGGATAAAAACACAAACTACATAATCAATATAAAAACAAGAACAACCCAATAACCCCGGCCCCCGCAAATAATCAGTGAGGGGAAATAAAATTTAAAACACACATACACAATATTTGTAACAAAACATATAAAAATAAGCACCCATCAGGTGTCATCAAGGAATAGATTAAAAGGTCAATTTAACTGTCTTTTCAAATCAAAACATTTCAGCCACTGGTTCCCCCCCCAACTGAAACCATTCATAGAAGCTCTTTGATCCAGTGGAGGCTTCCATGAAGGGGCGCTGGGAGGCAACTTTCTCTTACTCCCCCTTCCTTCAGCAGCCCTTGCCCCCATTCCCAAATCTGATCCAAGGGTTGAATTTCTCTAATTCAGTCACTGGCACCTCACAACCAAATAGAAGGGAAAGAAATCACAGAGAAGTGCCAAATGAAGATGAAGTAGCCTTGGCTTGTCTGCATCTTCCAACAAGAGGTTGAGCTCCTCCATATCACCTCCCAAATTCTACCATTGAACTCTGTGCTACTAAAATGATGATGGCCGACGTTACCTAGTGGTCAAGGACTGATCCGCACTACACAGAACATGTTGGCTTTATACAACATGGTAGGGAATCTGCGGACCTAAAGATGTTATGAATTCAAACTCCCATCAGCCCCAGCCAACATGGCCAATGGTTAGAAATGATGGGATTTCCCCCACCCCAGCCACATCTGAATGGCCACTGGTTCCCCAGCCCTGTTATACAACTTCAGTTGCTATGGCTTTCTGCGAAGAATCCTGGGAATGGTAATTTGGGGGTGGGGCAGGGCGGGGCTGCTTGTTTATTTAATCATTTATTTATTTAACATTTCTATACCACCAACACTGAAGAACCAAATATCATGGCAGCTATGAAACAGCATAAAATTAACAATAACATTATATTAATAAAGGAAGTAAAAGTGCATTGCAGCTTGGTAGACCAGCACCACTCAGAGAAGGTTAGATGAAGGTAAAGGACCCCTGGAGAGTTAAGTCCAGTCAAAGGCAACTATGGGGTTGCAGCACTCATTTTGCTTTCAGGCCGAGAGAGCCGGCGTTTGTCCGCAGACAGCTTTCCGGGTCATGTGGCCAGCAGGACTAAACCACTTCTGGTGCAACGGAACACCATGACGGAAACCAGAGCGCACGTAAATGCCATTTACCTTCCCACCACAGCAGTACCTAGTTATCTATTTGCGTTGGCGTGCTTTTGAACTGCTAGGTTGGCAGGAGCTGGGACAGAGCAATGGGAGCTCACCCCGTCACAGGGATTCAAACTGCTGACCTTCCGATTGGCAAGCCCAAGAGGCTCAGTGCTTTAGACAACAGCGCCACCCGCATCCCCTCAGTTATTACAATCTAGCCCTCCTCACAGAATCATCCTTCCCAGGGTCTGCAGCCAAGAAAGAATTACTATTGTCTGTTGCTGTCTAATGTGGATGTGCTGGAAAGTATCTGACACACATTTCACCTGAGCAGTGGCCCTACTGGATAGACTTTTCTCTCAGCTTCCCACTCCACTCCCAATCTGTAATACGTAATGATACGGTCATTTAGGGATTGGCATGTTTGAAGTGTGGACATCCCCAGTTAAGGATTTCTGTGGTAATTAGGAGCCTATCAAATTTGACTACACTGATAGCAAAGAAACATATAACAGAGAGAAATTTCAATGAAAATTTTTACAGGCGTTGCTCCAAAATTATCAGAAGATAATAGTAGTAGTAGTTGTAATAGTAGTAGTAGCATTAATAATAATAATAATAATAATAATAATAATAATACCCCTGCCCATCTTACTGGGTTGCCCCAGCCACTCTGGGCAGCTTCCAACGAAAACATTATTCAAACAGTTTGGTTAAGCCCTAGATCTATGTGGCTGCAAGTTAATGGCCCAGTTAATCAGAAAGGATACACATTACATTATCAGAAGCAATAATTGCAGACTATAGAGACCAAAGTGGAACATTTGCAGTAATACAGTGACTTTAAAAAATGTTTTTAATAAAAGGAGCAAATCAAATAAAATCTATCTCAAAACTTCCAATTAAATATTTGAATAGGCTGATCCATCTATTGTAAATGCTTTCTATGAAGATACTTAAGGATGTGTTGTATTAAACGGGTGCTGAAGGCCCAGAGAAGAAGATCTGGCTGATTGATTTATGGATTGCAGCCTTCTGCTTCCTACCACTCCTGGACCTGGTCCTGCTCACCTCTCTTCTTGGACCTTTCTGACCAAAGGAACATAGGAAAGTGTCATACAAAGTCTCAGGCAGGGTTTTCTGCCAGTCCTACTGGAGATGCTGGGAACTGAACCATAGCTGTCAATGTTTCCCTTTTTTAAAGGGAAATTCCTTTATTCCGAATAGGATTCCTCGCAAGTAAAGGGAAAAGTTGACAGCTATGGATTGAACCTGGGACCTATTGCATGCAAAGAGATGCTCTACCACCAAGCTATGGCTGTTCCCCTTGTTTTCATTCCTGTAGACCACTCCTTGCTCAGCTCTTCTGTCTTGAGCTCCCACTTCAACTTCCGTGGACCTGCATCCAGTTACTTAGGTGCCCATCAGCTCCTTTTCCTAGGCCTCGGAAGCCTGTTTCTCGTCTGGGTCCTTTTGCCTTCTCCCTCTCCAGCACCTGAGCAGCTGATTCAACAGCAGCCATTAAAATCTCTGAATTTTCAGATATTTACTGCCAGTGGTTTTGCCGCCACCACTACTCCTACAAATTATCTGAGCGCATTATAATATAGATAGCAAATCAGAAGAGGTAAAGTGGTATATTTTATTAGATCAGTCTCTGTAGGTTAAGGAATACTGAAGACAATGAGTTCACAGAACTCTCCACCAGGAAGAATAGGAAAACCATACAATTCTCTGCCCATATACAGCTAGAGAATTTCGAACATCGATATTTTTTCAGTCACTTCAGACAGATAATGGACTAGTCACAAAACACTAGCACATCAGACCATTTTATTACAAAACATTAAACCAAGAAGTAGTTGTTGAATGACTCTAGAAGCAAAGAGATGTACTTGAACTATTTTCCTGCACATTTTAACCGTTTTCTTTTTCCCAGCCAAATATTCCACGGATGTTTGCCAGATTGTCTTAGAACACCATTTAGGGCATCTCAAGTCCACCTGTCTTCCACAGCAGACATAAAATGTGAAGGGAAAGCATACATCTCAAAACCCACAGTAGACATTTGCCATTGGGCCATGACCAGTCATAGCTTTCTCAAACACATTCACAGCCTGTCCCTGAGTTTAGGGCTGGTGTTTTTTTTACAGCAAACGAAATGCTTGCTCAGGCAACGACATGAAGTGTAATGCCAGTAAGTGATTCTCGTTGACAAGGTCGCTTGTGGGACAAGGTGTGTGGCTTCATAGAATACGCTGGAGGCTATTTGATTTTTTTTAATTTACACCATCGCCAGTCGGCCATTTTGTGTCCCACATTTAGGTACATCACAAATAGTTACAACTGTCATACCTAGACTCTGTATGACGGGATTTGTTTTCAGGATATAGGCAGCTGTGGTGGAGGCAGTGTACCTGTATGAAACACACCTTCGTTCTGTCATCAGATCCAGTTCTAGTCAAGCCACAGGCAAAACAAAGTGCGGAAAAATGGAATGAGGCAAAGGAAAAGCCAGGAGGCTCAAGAGATGTAATGCCAAAAAGGCACCAGTGGGTCTGTAGCCAGAAGTAGAAATAGAGTTCCCAAAATGCTCAGATTAATGAGCAAACTGAAACTGGGAGCCTTTGTAGGATCGAAGAGTATCACGTTCTGTAACCCATAGTTGCTGAGAAGCTGACATGATTAATCTCTCCAGAGCCAAGTGGTGTTGTGCAGGCCGAACCACAATGACAACGGCACGGCTCCAAGTGACTGACAGGAAATCCGTCATGAGAATACGCTGTTTTCAAAATAATACTATACAAACAAACAAAACGGAACATACCAAAAAAAAAACAGAAAAGAAAATGAAAAAAAGCAAAGGAAACAAAACTAAACTAAACAAAAACGAAAAAACACACATCTACAGAAAAAACCCATATCATTACGTACATTTACACATATTGACTTCCTTCCTTTGTTCTAAGACCTCAAAAAATTTACTCTTGTAATTTTTGTTATGATTCTGCATTGAAAATAAATAAATAAACAAAAATAAATAAATAAATAAATAATAAAAAGAGAATACGCTGTTTTCCTGAAAGGAACTGTTCTAAAAAGCCTTTACAACAAGTTTTAAAACCTAACAAATCTGGTGGTTGGTGGTTGCCATACAATGGTGAGCCCAGGGCAACTAGTCAATCACAACACAACAAGCATGGGGCAAGCTGTGGCGATGTCCTGTGGTAATTTCTGCCCCTCCTCTTCTAGAACATCCTTACATAATTATTAAAGGAGCTCTTTGCGTCTATCTTTAACTTTCTGGTCCACATCTCAGCTCAAACTGGAGCCCATGAGATGACTTTAAAGAAATCTCATCTCTGTAGTTTTCTGCATTTCAGTGTAGATTGTTCCTTGACAGGGCGACCTAAGACATTTTGCTTTCACAGATGAAAAGGTGAACCACTCTCCCATCGCCAAGTTAAGGTGCACGACGCCCAAGGCTGGCCAAGTCATTTTGACATCTGAGGGAGACAATATCTCTCATCTATGGATTTGTATGAGGGTTTTCTAGTAACTTCTATTGATTTCCAACACTCCACTATAATATGACACATAACTTTTCCTAAGAATAGCATTCCATCATCTGTCTTGTGTGTCCAAATCTCATAGTTCTTATGTTTCCAAATGTTTTTGCCACCTCTGCATGGTCCTGCTCTATGGCATGACTGGAACTGATGACACCACTTGGGAGAAGCTAACAATGGGGTTATATATCACATTAGTGATGCCCAGACCTCTGGGAGGGACAATGCTAATGGGAAGCAAGATTGTGATATCTCACCCTATGTGATCTCCTCGATTCCAGTGTTCCTGAAGATGTGGTGAATAGCATAAAGAATTGCTTGAGCTGACGCGATTCCACATTTCGGTTGCCCATGAAGACGAGCGAGCTTACACAAAAAGTAGGTAAAGGTAAAGGGACCCCTGACCATTAGGTCCAGTCGTGGCCGACTCTGGGGCTGCGGTGCTCATCTCGCTTTATTGGCTGAGGGAGCCGGCGTGCAGCTTCCGGGTCATGTGGCCAGCATGACTAAGCCGCTTCTGGTGAACCAGAGCAGCGCACGGAAACGCCGTTTACCTTCCCACCGGAGCGGTACCTATTTATCTACTTGCACTTAGATGTGCTTTTGAACTGCTAGGTTGGCAGGAGCTAGGACTGAGCAACGGGAGCTCACCCCGTCGCGGGGATTCGAACCGCTGACCTTCTGATCGGCAAGTCCTAGGCTCTGTGGTTTAACCCACAGCGCCACCCGCGTCCCATTGCACAAAAGTATCGGGCCTGAAAAAAACCTTGTTTTAAGTGCACCTTTTGAGGCATTATTCTGCTGCTTTCTGCTTTCTGCTTCCTCGTGTGACATGACCAAAGAGAGGCAGCAACAACACCACTTAAAAGTAACACAGATCTTGGATTTCTGGTGCACTTCAGTTTATACCAAAGACAGCTGGGAGGAGGGGTCTTTTCTGGGATGCTGTGTTCTGTGGCAGGAGTCTCTCAAAAATGATGACAAGTAGACTTTTTTTTTAAGGAAAACATGTAACAAATGTGACATATAAACCACTTTGATCTCCCCCCCCCTACAATCAAGTGGTATATAAATTTTATGAAATAAATAAATATAGGGCAGAAAGCACCCAGAAGTATCATGATTTGATGTAACACGTTGGTTGCATGCTGTTCTCATCTCTTTAGGCAAATGAGTATCTTGTTCATGGTCCAACATATTTCCATATGAAACAATATTACACAGAGGAACAGAGAGCTGCAAACATGAGAGGGATGGTCAATTAGCAAGGCCAAACTACATGTGGGAGATCCATTAATGAATTTCCCAACCTCTTATTTAAAGCCTCACAATGGGATTCTCTCTCACACATGCCAAAGCTCTGAATAGCCCTGATGGAGTTGAAGGATATCTGCAATACAGATACAGAGCCTTCCCTTCTCCATGTAATAGCAACCCAATTCCAATGATGCCAATCTCCAGGGCTGCTTTTAAAGGTTAAAAACAAATACATCAGGGAATTCAATCATGTATTACCCCTACAGAATCACATGTAGTTTGGTCTTCGGTTTCATTTTTCAGCCCTATCCAAAAGTTGGTCTGAGCAGGATGAACTGGTTTGAGCTGACTTCATCACATTAAAGTCATTTATTTGTCAATGGGCTTAAATGGGCTTAAATCCAATTACTCTGTGAACATAAGCTGTTGACTAAATCTTTCTTCAGAGTAGTCTCGGTTTCCTAAGGCTTTGTCAGCTTTGGTGTAAGAGTGCAACAAAATTATCCACTTCAAACAATTATTGTTCTCTCTAAACAAATTATAAGGAAACTCCTAGTCTAGTTTTTAAACCACGGATCTTTGTAAAAATTAGTGCAAAAATGATGGAAAATATTTAAAAAAAACAAAAAACTTTCCAAATGGGTTTTCAACCACCTTTGTAAATGGTCAAGATAGAAAAGTTCTAGTCAACATTTTCTCAATTTCATTTCTGCATCTTGAAATGTCAACATAAAAACAAAATGAAATGATACGCTGGGCTTTAACCTTTTAATCTTATTTACTGCGGTGTGTTTCAGTGTCAGTTATCCCTTTTTTCAAGATTGTCAAATATCTGGCATTTATAGGTAAAGGTAACCAATCCAGTAGACAAGGTTGAACAAAGCGAAGGCTGTGGGAAAGAAGATTCGGGAATAGGAGTCAATTTTGGCCACGCGGATGTGTATTCGTCCTTCTCTCCACGATCCTGTGCGGCAGTCGTCAAAGCAACAAAAGAAGCTGGTGCAGTCTTTCCCTTCAAGGCACTCATATCCATAATTGCCATGATGCTCTTGAAGGTGACGGAGATTGTTGATTGGAATTAATGTTGATCCAGGGCGGACAGGAAGTGCAGGAGTCTAAAGAAAATGATAACAGGCTAAGGCTCAGCTTTTACGAACTAGTTAAAAGCCCGTCAAGTTCAATGGAGAGAGGAGAAAAGAAGAGATGAACTTCTCAACCCCACTCCTTTAGGAATCACCACTTCCCTACCTCTCTACCCCCACTTAATTCACCTTCAAACTCCTCATTGAGAGCAAGGGTTAGTCAGTTATTCCAATGTCCTGGTCATGTTCCTTTCTCCTCTGTTTTATTTCTCCTCAAATGATGTATTGCTTCATCCGCCTCTCCTGGTATGTCCCAATGGGGGGACATCTTTAAATAAAAACATCTTGGAGATCCCGGGCCACAGGGAGGTTAGGCTGGCCTCAACCAGAGCCAGGGCTTTCTCAGCCGTGGCCCCGATCTGGTGGAATGCTCTGTCACAAGAGACTAGGGCCCTGCGGGACTTGACATCTTTCTGCAGGGCCTGCAAGACAGAGCTGTTCCACCAGGTCTTTGGCCAAGGCACAGTCTGACCCCCTCCTTTGATAATCCTCATAGAACTCTATGGTTGCCATTAATTTGATTTTGAATTGATTATAGAATAAATTGATTTTGGAATGCATTTCAATTAATTGATTGTGATTTTATGTAAACTGTGCTACTTTTATTGTTGTTAGCCCCAGCTTCGCCTGGGGAGGCCGGGATATAAATAAAATTATTATTGTTGTTGTTGTTGTTGTTGTTGTTGTTGTTATTAAAGTTATGAAGTTTATTATCAGCTTCTTTTCTCTCTGGACTCTATGTTATTCAAGCGACCCTGCTAACACATCACACATTATGTTTTTTGGTGTCTAGGCTGGCCCAGCCATTAGACAGGGTGGGCCTGCTGCCTCAGGCAGCAGAAACCCCTGAGATGCCGCTCCCATGGGCACCCCGCTTGCGCCGACACTTCCACCAGTGGTGGAGAAGCAGTGCCAACAATGGTGCCCATTTCGGGCAAGGTCATGTCCGTTTCAGGTGAGAGCTCACCCGAAGTTTGTGTGATCTGACCTGAAATCAGTGTCGATGGCACTTCTCTGTCAGTGGTGGATGAAGCAGAGTGAATGGCAGAAGGTGGTAGCAGCGGAAAGTGGTGGCAGGTGTGGTCTCAAGCAGTGAAATGGAACATGCCACCCCTGTTTGGTGTACACCTAAATCATCAAGTGTACACCTAAATGTACACATGTCAGTGCACAGCAGTAAACAATGTGTCAAATGAACACTCTGTGGGGAAACCTGGGCTTGTTTCCCAGCAATTAAGCAGCTCTGCTTTCATCATTTGTCCTCCAAGCCGTTATTTATCATTAACTTCTTCAAGTTTTGACTAAATCTTCAGTGCTATCTTCCTAATGTGGATGATGCATTGTTTCTGAACTTAGCAGTATCACTGCAGTTCATATATTTAAATGTCCAAGGAGGAGCATTATGCATGCCTAAAATAGTTTGCTGTAGGCACATTTTACTGTAGGCACATCAGATGTCAATGAAATAAACAACTATCTGACTTTTAGAAGAGATCTGAAGGCAGCCCTGTTTAGGGAAGTTTTTAATGTTTGAGGTTTTATTCTGTTTTTAATGCTATGTTGAAAGCCGCCCAGAGTGGCTGGGGAAACCCACCCAGATGGGTCGGGTATGTATGTATGTATAAATATAAATATAAATATAAATATAAATATAAATATAAATATAAATTAGTTCCAGTAGAGAATGAAGTGGGATGCAAGGGACCTTCCTCACAACAAAAATCGTAAGTAACAAGATCTGCAAAACAGTGCAGTTTTAATAGGTCCTAACAGGCTCAAGGGTAAGACTTTTTAGAGAGATAAAGGTAAAGGTAAAGGTAAAGGCGAGTCTTGACAGACTCCAGGGTTGTGCGCTCATCTCACTCTAGAGGCCGGGAGCCAGCGCTGTCCGCAGACACTTCTGGGTCACGTGGCCAGCATGACGAAGCTGCTCTGGCAAACCGGCACCAGAGCAGCACACGGAACGCCGTTTACCTTCTCGCTATAAAGCGGTCCCTATTTATCTACTTGCACTTAAGGGTGCTTTCGAACTGCTAGGTGGGCAGGAGCTGGGACCGAACGACGGGAGCTCACCCCGCCGCGGGGATTCGAACCGCCGACCATGCGATCGGCAAGTCCTAGGTGCTGAGGTTTTACCCACAGCGCCACCTGCGTCCCCCTTAGAGAGATAAGTATGTGGTTAAATTCACTATCCAATGCAGTGGTACCTCGGGTTAAGTACTTAATTCGTTCTGGAGGTCCATTCTTAACCTGAAGCTGTTCTTAACCTGAAGCACCACTTTAGCTAATGGGGCCTCCTGCTGCCGCCGCGCCGCCAGAGCACAATTTCTGTTCTCATCCTGAAGCAAAGTTCTTAACCCGAGGTACTATTTCTGGATTAGTGGAGTCTGTAACCTGAAGCATATGTAACCTGAAGTGTATGTAACCCGAGGTACCACTGCACGCATGTCGAAAGACCAAATGCTAGAATAATGGAAGGTTAATGCTAAAGATGTATTTGTTTAATTTAAGTGTGTTTACATCCTACTTTTCTTCCATCATGAAACTCAAGGTCTACGTGAGATTATAGGGTAATATAAACGCAAGGATTAGGAATCAAATCATATGGAGCCTAATAACTTGAGTTACAATATTATTAGACCCAAGCGTTTGTGAAATGTTGACTTTCCAGAGATAGTGCCGTGTCTCAGAATGAAGGTCTTCAAAGCCTATTCATAACCCAGGAATGGAGCTGAAATAGTCCAGCAACCATTAGAGCTACTCAAATTTACTGAAATTATATGATTAAATTTTAAATAGGTATTTTCATACAAGCTGCTTTTTCAGCATTCTTGGTAGCGTTTAGGATCTAACTGAGCCAGTTACCATCTGCAATGTTGTTAAAATGCAATGCTTAAACACATTTTAATACAGCAGGCAGATAATTTCCTCTTTGTGTGAAGATATAAAAAGTTTTGGATGGGACACATTTCTGACATATTGGTTACTAAACGATGATATCTGCCAGTAGAAAGAATCTAATCTCCTTAACTGAACCGTAAGCGTTGCAGAAAAGAGGTGGCATCAAAGATGGGTATAATTCCTCTACTACCAAATGGCCATATTAGTTAACTGTACCTGTACAATTTATGCAAGTTTTTGTTTTTTTAATAAAAAGCATTAAAGGAGCTCTTATTGCTGCCATTATTTCATTGTATAAATGCTATTATTTCCATGGAATTATCATATTCTCAGTTCTCTCCCTATGTGGATCTCAATGTGGCAAAAGTGGTACCATCCGTGCACAATAGGGGCATATCAGTAAGTCTGGGATAACCCAAAGGTTTTCAGAATTACAAAAAATATTTAGGGGGAAACACCTAAGGACCGTCACAAAATGATGCTCCACTACACTGATGGCACAGAGGGCACCTGGAAGCTGCTCTTCCAGTTTGTGCAGGGAGCTATCCGTGCATGAAATAATGCACAAATCAGAACTGGGGTACTTCTTTTTCTCTGGTAGGCACCCGTCAGATTGTGCTGTTTGGGGCAGCTGTCCAATGAAAGCAATGAAAGAATAGGTGTTTGCTTTGGCAATAATTTAAAAATTACCAGCAACGAATACACACACAGGGTTGTGTTCAACATTAGCCTTACTCATATTAATGAGTAATGCAGCAGCTAGACTGGTGACTGGGAGTAGCCGCTAAGGCCATATAACACCGGTCCTGAAAGACCTACATTGGCTCCCAGGATGTTTCCAAGCACCATTCAAAGTGTTGGTGCTGACCTTTAAAGCCCTAAACAGCCTCAGCCCAGTATACCTGAAGTAGCATCTCCACCCCCATGCCTCAGCCTGGACACTGAGGTCCAGCGCAGAGGGCCTTCTTGCGGTTCCCTCACTGTGAGAAGTAAGGTTACAGGGAACCAGGCAGAGGGCCTTCTCAGTAGTGGTGCCCGCCCTGTGGAATGCCCTCCCATCAGATGTCAAGGAAATAAACAACTACCTGACTTTTAGAAGACATCTGAAGGCAACTCTGTTTAGGGAAGTTTTTAATGTCTGATGTTTTATCGCTTTATTATTATTATTGTTTAGTCATTTAGTCGTGTCCGACTCTTTGTGACACTATTATTATTATTATTATTATTATTATTATTCTGTTGAAATTAGAGGGCATGAGCAAGGTAGGTCCATTAAATTCAGTGGGTGTACTGGAGCTTAGATAGAACCCTCTGTTTGGAAAGTGAAAATGTGGTGAATTCAAGCTGCTCTAAAGATTGGTTTCAGCATTAAGGTTTGATATAATGCACAGTGAATTAAATATGAGACTATGCTTTCTGTCCTAATTCTTAACTTAGCCATTCTTCCATTTCAGAAAGCTCTTTGCAGTCCTCATGATTCCAGTTCAGTGATCCTTTATTACGGTGCTTGGGAATTTCCATATTTTTTATAAAAAAATCTCAACATCATAGTAACGAAAAGTAACTTCTTATTTATTTATAGGAGAGGGCTAAATTTATATATTGCTTAATGATATGCTCCATATTAATATTTTAGTATGTTTACCCTCTGGGGATTATTAAATGTTCATGTTTCTGTGCACTGGTCTCTTTTGAAGTTCAAAATAATTGAAGAGACGAATGGTAATTGTTATTTAGAGTGACTTAGACAGTGGTATATAAAAAGGAGCTCTCTCCAAACATAACAAAATGACTACAGAACATCACCCAGGTACCCTGTGACAAATTTCAAACAATATCAAAATGATTAGAGGACTGGAAGAAGCATGGGTTCTTCATTACTCTCTAGCTGAAGTGCATATAGACGAAGAAAAGGAAAAATCTAGAGTGCTTATTATGTTTTGGCTCCTAGTGGCAACCTTATGGGAAATTTAGTACCACGAAAATCAATGGTGGAAGTGAACATAATTATGTGCAAGTGTGTGACTGCCAAGTATTGATATACATTTACCTGAGATTTCTATCTCACTAAGCAAGGTTGCAAAAACTGAAAGCCAGCTTCAAAATTCTGTGCTGTATGCAAAATGTATGTAGCACAATGTTCAGCAATCATCTGTCATTGCATTCTTAGAAAAGAACTGAAGACATCTCTCCAAAACTTTCTTTGGGCTCTGCTTTTATATTGACCAAAACTGCCACCTCCACCACCTGCTCTAGTTTGTACCCCTTAACACAAAGGGCTCTCCCCAGCCCCAGCCAGATACCAAACAGATTTTTAAAAATATGTCTCTGTACACATTCAAAGCTTAACATGCAATGAGGTCCTCTTTCTTCACTGTGTTTGAAACTACAGTGGTACCTCGGGTTACATACGCTTCAGCTTACATATGCTTCAGGTTACAGACTCCACTAACCCAGAAATAGTACCTCGGGTTAAGAACTTTGCTTCAGGATGAGAACAGAAACCATGCTCCGGCGGCACGGCAGCAGCAGGAGGCCCCATTAGCTAAAGTGGTGCTTCAGGTTAAGAACAGTTTCAGGTTAAGAACAGACCTCTGGAACGAATTAAGTACTTAACCCAAGGTACCATTATACATTTGCACCTTATTGTACCCATGAGCATGGTTGGAAATGATTGTAAGTTGTCCACTATGTATCTGCATCAGTGGGTGGAGATGGGATGGTGATGGCTTTAGCCAATGAGCAGTTCTCCATTTGGGTCGAGGCCAGTTTTTGAGTGGGAAAGCATTAAAATGCAGTAGTTCACAAGAAACGACAGGATGGATGTGGATTGTGACTAATGCCACGTGTTCACAGTTTTCCAAGTTAGTGTTGGGAGCAATGGGGCTGGCCCAATGATGAAGCAGAGTGAGGCAGCTGCCTCAGGCAGCATGCTGAGGCATGGGGGCTGGACGGAGGTGGGAGTGCTATGTAGTCTGCCCTGTACCCCCTACGCTAGCCTCCTGTCCCCAACTGCAGTGGAAGACACTGTCCTTTCGCCAGAATTAGAGTAAGATTCAACTAGAAGTCCAGTTGGCTTCTGTTTGTACCTAGAGGAAGGGTGCCATTTGCCTCAGGCAGCAAAATGTATTGAGCCAGCCCTGGAGAGCACACGGGAGTAAATGGGAGTATGTGCACAGCCTATATAGAAAATGGGCACCATGCAGGACCACACAAAACAGGGCAGGCACCTGTGATCATAGCCTGGTGGAACAACTTTTCCACTTACTTTTGCAATGACCAAATACCAGCTCATGTACTGACACCACAGTGAACTGTCAGGAGTTCGGCCTACACTTGAGTAGGACCCTGGCAGAGGCACATGCCCGACTGGCATGTTCTCTCTCTTCTGGTCTTTCGTTTGGGAGCTTCAAAGGCTTTCTTCAGCCCGAACATCATGGTGACCGATGCATACAGACACCGGAACACTTAGGGATCTGCATAGTTTGTGCAGTTCGCGTAAAAGACCTCAGCAACTCAGCATCTCAGCATTTTGGCTAATCTACTTTATTTACATATAAACACACACAGAGCACTGCAACATGGCTCCCTCTCTCTCTAGCATCAGATAGCAAAGAGAAAAGGAACAAAGGACAATAGTCCCACTTCACGAAACACAGTAACACAAACATCCTGTTTCTGTCACTTCCCACTCTGTGGAGTCAAAACATATACCGTCATGGGATAGACAAAAATCCCATGACTGCAATCATGGAGCAGGAATATTGTCCTGCTATACTCACACTGAGTTCCTCCCCCAGGGCAGTTTTTTCCAGGGTGGGAAATGGACAGACATGCATATGGTTGGCCTAATAGCACAGTCCTTTTTGCACCATCCGATGGGCAGATAGTCACCTTGAAGTCAGTGGTGGAGCTTCATGCTCTGGCACCAGCAGTGGAGAGCAAGTGGGGGTGTGGCTGGCGCGCATCCCAGGGGCATGGCACACCACCCGTGGGGGGGGAGCAGCCATGATGGCACCCCATTGGGATCGTGGTGTCAGGGCTGGTGCGCTCTGCCTGCCCCCTCTTCCTCCGCCAGTGGGTGAGCATTTTTCCATCTTTGCTATTTGACTCACTGTAGAACATATATTATTTTGATATAATTACAAAGACATAAACAGAGACAGACCCATGCTATGGCTATCTCTCCCATAACTAAGCAAACTGCTGATTCACAGATAATTTGAGTATGTTGTTGTTGCAAACAAAATTTCATGAACAGATGGAGGTGTTTTGCTAATCTAAGAAACAAAATGTATACCCAGTAGATGGTGCTGTCACCGCTATGGGGACTAATGCTGAGGTGTTTGCTTGTCAGGATAAAACAAACAGAGGCGTTGAGTCAGCCTAGGAGTTGGTGGGTCCTAAGCCAGCTCCACTGCCGTCACATAACTTCACTGAGTCTACTCGTGACTGGCCTTCGCCACCTCCATCTTCCTTCCTTCCTGGCTGGCATGCTTAGCAGGGTTGCAGAAATGGAGATGGACCCACTACTCCAGGAAGACTGCTAGGCAACAAACTGGGTTTGGATTAAAACCTTACCAAGTTTTTTTTAAAAAAAAGAAAAGAAAGGAGAGAGGGAAATGGGCTAAAATGAATTGTTCTGAATTTTGTAAGAATGGGTGATATTTTAAATGGTGTTATTGTCAGTATTGAATTTGTAAACGAGATTAATTTGGGTTTTCCTTTGTAAATTTTGATATCAATAATAAAGTTTTTTAAACTGTTTTAATGTTACAGAAGAAAGTAATGGGCTTGGCCCCAACCACCCCCATCCTTGCAATCAAGGATGTAGAATTTGGGAGTCCATTGGCACAATCCATCCTGGGATGTGAAGAGATCCCATTAGAGCATGGTTGGGGAACATGCAGCCCTTTGGTTGTTGTTGTGTTTCACTCCTGTGAACTCCCAGACAGAATTATGGGATTTGGAGTCCAATAATATCTGGACGGTCACAGGTTTCCCCATCCCTGCCTTAGAGTATATCAGACCTCGATTTTTTCTACTCCCCATGCAATATGAGAACTGGGAGGACTATGTACCTGTCCTTTCTTCCTGCTATACTCTTCCCTTCTGCTTGGTCACGGAATGGAATTTCTAGCTATGATATTACCCAGCGTCATACAACCCAAGGACATAGCTGTCAACCTTCCCTTTTTTTTGCAGGAAATTCCCTTATTCCAGCGCCTTTTCCCGCTGCTTCCTGCTGCTATCCCAGATTGTTAGATATCCCGTAGACTGTCCCCGGGACAAGTGAGGCTGCTGATCCCTTATTTTCGAGACTGCTAATCCCTTATTTTCAAATCTGAAAGTTGACAGCTATGCCCAAGGATTGTATCAAATTAAAGACGTAGGTTGAATTCAGGTTAGACTACAACACCATTATTTAAGCATTCCCAAGGATCCTGTCTGTAAACGTTAAAGCACAGCATTGTTGTTTGCTAAAATGTCAGGTCCGCAAGCTTGCTCCCGAAACATTTCCTTCATAATCAAACGTTAGGACTGAGGAGATAAAAAATGCTAGAATTCTCTAGCTATTTACACTTACTGAGGACTTGTTTTTTGATTTCTTGTCTTTCTCTTTGGCCCCCTTTTTGTTGTTGGTGAAATAATGCAAGGTGCCATACTCCACCAGGGCAGCAAACACAAAAATGAAACACACAGAGACGAAAAGGTCCATTGCTGTTATGTAGGAAACCTTGGGAAGGGACTTCCTTGCAATTGTACTCAGCGTGGTCATGGTCAACACAGTGGTGATGCCTGTTAAAAAATAAATATAATGACAGAAATGGTGTCACCAAGAGAACTTGCAGCAATGCTTAGGCTGTAACCCTAGACCCCCTTGACCTGGGAATAACCCCCACTGTGAGTGCTGGACTAGATAGACCTTTGGTTTGATCTAGCGGGGCTCTTCATAAGGTTCTTAGGAACTCAGTCGGACTTACTTCTAAGTAGACACACATAGGATTACAGTAATATTTTGGTTCTCGAATGGCTTAGTTGATGAAAAATTCAGCTCCCGAATGCCACCAACCCGGAAGTAAGTGTTCCAGTTTTTGAACATTTTTCGGAAGCCGAACATCCAACGCGGCTTCCACTTGAGTACAGGAAGCTCCTGCAGCCAATCGGAAGCCACACCTTGGTTTTCGAATGGTTTCAGGAATCGAACGGACTTCCGGAATAGATTAAGTTCGAGAATCAAGGTATGACTGTATGCTGTTAGGTGTTAATATTCTAGAGATGATTAAACTATGGAAACGTTTGTGTGAAGTAGATACCAAAGGCAATAACAATTTGGTTCTATACGGATGCAAACTCATGAAAATATAGATCCAATTCTGGTTTTGGTTACATATTTTTAGTGTTTTAACTGGATTATTTTGGTCAGTCACTTTGCAAAGCTGCTGGCTGGAATGCAGGATAAAAATAGAAGCAAGCAAGCAAAAGAAAGCATTGTTACTGTAGGCATCCTTTCTCTCTCTCTCTCTCTCTCTCTCTCTCTCTCACACACACACACACACACACACACACAATTAGGCTCTGTGTACTTCTCAGAATTATCAAAGCAGTACTCATATTTATGTTTTAAGGTTGCATATATCTCTAAAGATGTTTTCACCCCACTAATTTTTCTATTTCGTTCATTATAGAAAAAGTTGCTGCATAGGTTTTGGGTCATTCTTCACATTTGTTGTTTTAAGGGTATTTTCATAACAGGCTTGATCATGCTTTACTATAAAAGGCTTTGTGGCTGAAAAACAAAATGCAGCTAAATATAGATTTCACCTTTATTGTGTGCCTATTCCTCCGTTTACCATTTTCTCAAACAGCACAAAGGACTGATGACCCTGTTCACATGGTGTTTTCTCAACAAAGCAACCTATTTAACAATTAAAATCACTATTAAAGGTAAAGGTACCCCTGCCCGTACGGCCAGTCTTGACAGACTCTAGGGTTGTGCGCTCATCTCACTCTAGAGGCCAGGAGCCAGCGCTGTCCGCAGACAGCTTCCGGGTCACGTGGCCAGCGTGACAAGCTGCATCTGGCGAGCCAGCGCAGCACACGGAAACGCCGTTTACCTTCCCGCTGGTAAGCGGTCCCTATTTATCTACTTGCACCCGGGGGTGCTTTCGAACTGCTAGGTTGGCAGGCGCTGGGACTGAGCGACGGGAGCGCACCCCGCCGCGGGGATTCGAACCGCCGACCATGCAATCAGCAAGTCCTAGGCGCTGAGGTTTTACCCACAGCGCCACCCGCGTCCCTAAAATCACTATTGCGTTCAGTTATTTAATTTGGAAGTCCAAAGGAGCTCAGATGGGGTGAAAGCAGGGGACAGAAGACCGAATTTGGTACCTAGAGGTATATAGTTGTCACCAAATGTTCCAAGATATGCCTTACTCATATGGCCAGCATGGTTCCTGTTTTAAAATGAGACCAGATGGATGCCTTTGTGGGAAGTCTTTGTGTGTCTTTACTAGAGCTGAGAGGGATGCGGGTGGCACTGTGGTCTAAACCACAGAGCCTAGGGCTTGCCGATCAGAAGGTTGGCAGTTCAAATACCCGTGATGGGGTGAGCTCCTGTTGCTCGGTTCCTGCTCCTGCCAACCTAGCAGTTCGAAAGCAAGTAGATAAATAGGTACCACTCCGGCGGGAAGGTAAACGGCATTTCCATGCACTGCTCTGGTTTGCCAGAAGGGGCTTAGTCATGCTGGCCACATGCAGGCTCCCTCAGCCTTTAAAGTGAGATGAGTGCCACAACCCCAGAGTCGTCCATGACTGGACCTAACGGTCAGGGGTCCCTTTACCTTTACCTTTACTAGAGCTGAGCCAAGAGTTCAGGTTCTCTTAAAAGGCAAGCAAAGGGGTGGGGGTTGGAGGGGCAGACTGGAAAAGTAGCCAGTTCTTTTCTTGTTCATTAAATTTTCTACGCCACAGAGAGAGAGTATAATTTTTAAAAAACATTTTTTTGTTGTTGCATGACAGCACATACAGGAGCGTACATGAAGATGGGTTTGCAAAGAGAGTAGCTACCTAATGATGTCCTCGCGGGCACTGCATCTTTATTAATCCAGAACGAGACCCAGGAAAGGACGACTGTCAATATGCAAGGAATGTACGTCTGAATGGTAAAATACCCCATACGCCTACTCAGAACAAAGAAAATCGTCATGACAACGTAATCCCCTGCAAGGAAAAGAAAAGAAATTCGGTCAGTTATATCCTGCAAGTGATCTCCTGTTTTCTCCTCACCTCTCCCACAAAAAGAACACCTTATAATGTGGATGGGATTTTGCTGCTGGTGAAGTGCTCTCTGATCAAATATCCTCAATGTTTTATGGAAGACCAGTGGACACAGAGCCTGTGGACCAGGAGAAGCCAAAGAAGTTGAGAACTGTATGTTTGCTCTAATTGCCACAGCAGGTCAAAGTGAGCAGCTGGGAGGTGAAGGGAAACTGTAATTATTTTCTTGTTGTTCTTAGGAATGAAGGGGGTTCTGTTCATTGTTTTCTGTATCATGGAAACTCAATAAAACCATAGGTTATTAAAAATAAATTACTAAATCTTTGCCTATTTGGCTTCTAACAAAGAAGGTGACAATAATTGTATTTCTCTAGTTAGTATAATAGAGAAATACAGTTTCTCTAGTTAGTATAATACAAGGGACGCGGGTGGCGCTGTGGTCTAAACCACTGAGCCTAGGGCATGCCGATCAGAAGGTCGGCGGTTCGAATCCCCGTGACGGGGTGAGCTCCCATTGCTCGGTCCCTGTTCCTGCCAACCTAGCAGTTCGAAAGCACATCAAAGTGCAAGTAGATAAATAGGTACCACTCTGGCAGGAAGGTAAACGGTGTTTCCGTGTGCTGCTCTGGTTCGCCAGAAGCGGCTTAGTCATGCTGGCCACATGACCCAGAAGCTGTATGCTGGCTCCCTCGGCCAAAAAAGCGAGATGAGCACCGCAACCCCAGAGTCGGTCACGACTGGACCTAATGGTCAGGGGTCCCTTTACCTTTACCTAGTTAGTATAAAATCAAACCCACTGTGAAAGGGTGTGTACTTGGTGTGCCATGTGGTGGGATCCTTCCTCCCTGTTGACCCAATAAGACACAGATGCACCCAAACTGCACGGAGGTGCCTGCAGTGGGTGAGTGGGGTGTGGTGCATGGCACACTGCTCCCAGGTTCTTGCTACTTTCTCAAACACAGCAGAGAGCACCATGGAGGAAGGCTGGAGGCACACAATGGGAAGACTCTGGAGGGACTGCTTAGGGGAAAACACTATGCAGTGTGGGAACTAGACACAGGTATGAGGGAAGTGCACTCCCTTTGGTCTGAGGTGGGGGGAGAGACTGAGTAAGGTTCATTTTCATTCAACTATATGAGTGAGAATAGCAGAGTCTGAAACATTACTCTGAGGTTGTTACAGGTAGGAAACACACACACACACACACACACACACACACACACAAATCTTCCACCAAAAAATGAGTCTAGAATAGGAATGTCAGAGAATTCTGACAAATAAGGACACAGGAGTAGAAACTGCCCAAGTCAGCTTATTCATTCCACATCCAGAGTGGAAATCAATTCCGTGAATACAATTGGTATTGGTTGTTGTTTTCAGTCTGCAAACAATACTTCCTCCTTCGCCCTTAGCATTTTTGTTTCCTTTACACTGAAGTGGAATAACATCACAACTCAATTTATATAATCAGTTACATCAATTGTGTAAGTTATGTGATTTCGTTGCAGCAGACATCAAGATAAATAGTACTGTTTTTAACAGAAGATGAGCTGTAGTGGAACAGAAACAGTGTTGCATGTGATGAAAACAGGGGGAAACAGAAAACAATGCCTACTTGCATCCATAGTCCAGAAATATCTAGTTTAAATAAATGTGGTTGTTTCCTTACCGGACTGTGTATGGGAGATATCTGTTGTATTACGTAAGCCTACAAATGCAAATTGATACAATCTCCAATATTTGGGATCTGCCACTTCCACAGAGGACTTTTTCCATTTGTATATAATTTCATTCCTCGGATATCCATCTAGAAGATAGTAGCACAACATTTGTACAAAAAAATCAAGCACCCTGTAGCAGGGAGGGGTGGTGGAATGCTGATACAGAATGTTTTAGCATGTTGTATATAACTACAGAACAACTTTCAGAGAATAGTCCAGTTCCACTAATAGGTAAACGGCTTGTGGAGGTAAATAAGGAGGCTTTTCTAAGTTATTGCTAAAAGTGATGGCAACAGGAAGACAGCCTTCAATTAAGAAGTTAACCACCCTTTGCAGTAGATTTGAGTAGATTTCAGGGCCGTGTGTGTACCATGATTCCATTATTAGAGCTGTAAATATATTATTGGAAGTGTTACAGGCAATGCCTGCTGAAATCTCGGAAGCTGAAAGGGGCTGTTGAATATGATTTACCGAAGTTAGTAAAACCAGCATAAAGTATGCAAGTGATAAAAAAGAAAAGCAGAATTATGCATACTACAAGGAAATATTGATTTACATGAGGGGGGGCGGTGCTTGAACATGGAGTGGAGGACAGTAAGTGTGAATAAGCCCTGCGTCTTTGAAGGGAACGAATTCTGAAAGCACTTCCCACCTGGAGGACTAAAATAAAGGACAGCAATAAAGCACAGTTTAAAGACATACGTAGTAGTTACATTTTATCCCCAATTAAGTTTAAGAACTGGAAAGAAACTGTTTAGATGTACTTTGGGTTGTTGTTTTTTCATTCTGCCCATGACAGTGTTATGTCCTTGTGAGCAGATTAGTTTTATAAGCTTATTGCCATTTATAACACTGGGTATAATTCTGAAAACCACTGAAGCTAGAAATTCTTAGATAAATTTAGGATCAGTGGGTACAGCTATGATGGCAAAAGGTCAGAAACTCAGCACTGGAGCAGCTTCTTCGCATGCAGAAGGTCGATGTCTCAATCCTTAGCATCTCCTGGAGACCCTGGAGCCACGTATAATAATCTTTATTTCTTCTACATTAGAACCTGAATCTGACAAACTTCCTTAGCAGGGATTATGGCTCATTTGTATCAAAGCTCTGGATCTGTATAATAGGTTTCCATCCTTGTTGGTGGCCTTGAGGTGCAATGCCATTTCCCCATAGGCGAGTCACTTCACCTAAACTGGAAATAAGTGATAAGCGATACCAAAAGTGCTCGTGACACTTCAAACCTAGTTGGTGCAAAGTGCAACAAAGCCCTCCGAACAGCCTGTTAATCAACGGGGCCTCTATTTAAAATGAGAAGAATTCTGTGAAATGCTTTACCACCTACAGCTTGAAAACTCCAGGGGGCAGGAATGCTCATCCATGGGAAAGTTATGAAGCTGGAGGTAACATTCGGCATTAATCGTCAACCTGGTTAGAAAGTGGAGAAAAGCGTGAGAGAACGAACTGGAAAGAATTGGGCACTTTAACTAAGATGTCAAAGTCATTTCTCTTCAGTGGCAAAACCTTCCCACCCTAAAGAGGCACTATTATCATGTTCTGCGCAGTCCCAGAAGTCGTTTCCCAGGCTGCAACACTTTACTGCACTGGGAATGGACACAGCACACATAATTAATAGATAGTTTCACAGGTTTTAAATGGACTTACACCAGTAAACATTAGCTGTGATAGATAATAGCCTTGCTGGGTGGCTCTCTTTGCCAAAGAGCAGACAGCAGGGATTCTGTGCTGTGTGATGAGAAAGGAAGCCATCGCAAAGCAGAGAAGGTACAAGGTGTCTCCTCCCATTGGTAAGTGAGTGTCTGGGATCAGGAGCAGCAGCCAGCTATGGGATTGTCACCTATGTCCCAGGTCTACTGGCACCACTGCAACATCCTTTACCTGGAAGATGTGTTGCCCAAACTGCAAGGTGCAATGGGGGGGGGGGCTTTTCCAAAAGGATGCAGAGTTTGCAAGCCCAGCAACTAAAGGCTGTCTACACAGTATAACTTTATAGCACATTTGCAACACATCTCTCCCTGCTCCCCCGAGAATGCAGGGTAGGGTTACCAGACGTCCCCGGGTCCCGGGGACAGTCCCCAGATTTGCAAATCTGTCCCCGGACAAATTCCGTCCCCGGAATGTCCCCAGATTCGCAAATCTGTCTCCAGGAAACGTGGCAGTGGCAGCCTCAGCAGCCCAGAGCCAGCCTGGTAGCGCAGTTGGCTCTGGCTGGCTTCAGGAGCTGCTCGCTGCCGTGGCGCCCGCCATTTTTCCTGCACCATGGCAGCGAGCAGCTCCTGAAGCCAGCCAGAGCCAACTGCGCTACCAGGCTGGCAACGGCCGCCCGTCCGTGACTCCTGAGCACCCCCTGATCTGTCAAAACAAAGGGGGGAGGGGGAAGGAGATTAGGGAAGGCTCAGGAGTCACGGGCATGCGCTGCGCTGTTGCCCAGTTTTTAAAAAAGCTGTGCATTTATGTTTCACAGGGTGCGAAAGAAGGGCTTTGCACCTTTATACAATATGCATGTGTGCTTGGGCCCAGGGTCTTTTGCCTCACCATCCCCACTAATGATTCCCTGTTGCTACTCTGCTTCAAAAAATAAAAAAAGTGTCCCCGGATTCACTGAAAAAAACCAATACAGGGTACTGTAGGCATCCTCACAGAGTTACAGTTCCTAGCAACCCTTAACAAACCGCAGTGCCCAGAATTCTTTGAGGGGAAGAATGTGCCTTGAAGGGGCTTTAAAGGCCTAGTGTGTGCGTAGGACAAGTCCAAGCAGTGAATGGAGAAGGGGTTTCTTCCCCTTTTAGCAGGCAGCCCAATGTGGCCCCATTTAGCTACAGGGGGTTATTTTGAAGGCACACCACACGCACCCTGGCATGCACGCCCCCACCCTGGGTGCCAGCAGTGAGTGCTCTGCCACTGCCTTTGAGGGATCTCTCAATGGCTCCCTGGAGCCTGTTGTCTCTGCGCAGAAATGCGTCACAGACCTGCGGGAAAGTGAGTCCTGCAAGTCGGTCAAACCAAGCAGGTGTGCAACAGGCCCATGGCCAGAGAATTTAAAATGTCGCTGAATGCGGATTGGTTGCGGGTGCCAGTCATGACGCTCCACAGGCATGTAAACAACTGGGCTCTGAGGTGTCTAGTTGGTGTTACTAACTGCAAGGTGTGATGGCCTGGGATTTGGACTCGGAAGCTGAACCTGAGGAATCCCAGCCTGCACAGGATTCTCCGCCTCCAGAAGCAGCTGAGCCAGGGCTGGGGCTTGAGCCTGAAGGGTCCTCACCTGTGCTGGATCCTCAGGTGCAGGCACCAGCTGAGTCTGCTCTGGCTCCTGAGGTGATGGAGGACCCATTACCTGCAGGTGCTCCACTCTCAGCCCCATCACAGGAAGCTGAGGTTCCCTCTGGGTCTGGTAACCCTCCAGCCTCTCCTGGGCTGCAGAGGCTCAGGGCAGAGAGGCGGAGGGAACTACCGGTAAGTTCCTGCAGGAGGAGTGCTCACCTCCAGGCCAGGAGAGGCGAATCACCTGTGGACTGGGGCCGCCCTATGCCTCGGGGCAGATAAAAGCCAGCCAGCCCCAGTCCCAAGTTGCGGGAGCAACGTTGTTGGTAGCCAGTTCCTGCCTGAACCCTGTCCTGCCGGATCTCCTGAAGTCGCCCGACTCCCTGCCTTGGACCTAGCTTCAGCTTTGACAGAGAGCCTCAATACTGCACCCTCGACCTCGCCTCACGGAAACCCACGGGACCAGCACACAAGGAAAGAATGGCGGGGACAAACAACAGGGAATGCACACGCAACAGATCAGTTCTTTTCTGGCCAGAAAGGACACTGGGGTAAACAAGCAGTGACAGACAGAGGCACTGAGTTATTTATATTGAGGGGGGAATGGGTTACATTACTCCCTGATGGAGAGAGAATGGGCTATGACTGAGGTGAGTGCAACCTACTCTTCTCATAGCAACTAGCTGCTAATGCATTACCATTTAAAAAACCCATTCCAACCCCTCAGGGAAGGCCTTTAAATTCGGAGTTTAAAATTGTCTGTGTGTTTGTTATTTGTAGCGGCCCAGTCAGCAACTCTCCTTATTTCTCCCTTAACTCCCAGTCTGTGTTTTGCAAAGTACACTCTTTTATACCAATGAAACATTAGAACAGGAATGTCTCTCAGTTTGGCAGCACAAGGTACAGCAACTGGCTGGCCTTAGGGGAGCAAAATAAGCAAATTATCGGCCTGACAACAAAGGAAGCAGGTTTGAGAATTGCCAGCTCTTCCCTCCAGCCTTCCATGGACAGAATGCCATAGAGAAAGGGAGGGTGCCAGAGATTCTTGGGGAGCCAAACAGCCCAAAGGGTTGTCAGATCCTTTTACTGCTACTACACTCGCTCACATCTGAACTTTGCTTTGTTTTCCAGAATGCTCTCACCTTGGGCAAGTCCCCTGTGCACAAAAATGCAGTTGGAAACCATGGGGCTACGTGCTCAATTTAAGAACTCAATTTACCAGCTTGTCTGCTGACTTAATGAAAGCTGCATGTTAGGTGCAGTTTTGTCGACCAGGACTGAAAACCCTAAAACCCAGGGGTGGGGAGCCTCTGGCCCCTTGCTGAACTACAAATCCCATCATCTGTGGCTATTAGCCATATTGGCCTGGGCTGATGTCTGGTGGGAGAGCTACGGGTTCTTGTCCCTCTCTCCTGAAGGACAAGGAAGAGTGCTCCTTTTCTTTATTTGCAGCTACAGAAGCTTGCTCTGTAGACATGATTTGGGAATTCAAAAGATATTTTGGTTAAATTAATAGAATTAAGTTTTGTTTGATAAGTAAGATGTGTGTAAAATTGCATGGAAATAATTAAAAATAATTGCCAAATACTTGCAGTTTATTATTATTATTATTATTATTATTATTATTATTATTAGCGGCAGCTAATTTTCAGAAGGCAAAATTAAAATTCTTCGGTTTTCCAAAAGCAGTTTATGTGCTTCTTCATCAAAGATAGACTTTCCAAGCTGAATGTTGTGCAATAACAAAAATAATAGCAGATTTGAATTCCTCACCCCCCCACCCAAAACAAATATTTTAAGACCCCTCGCTGAAGAAATTTGCAAAAATTAAGTTTCACCCCCCCCTCATGGCACTCTCTGCTGCTGCAATTCTTTCTGAATTACTTGCTTCTGAGTACACATGAGTAGGGTTAGGCTGCAAATCCTGTAACTTTAAATTTTCCAAAGCAATATGCAAAATTAGCAATTAACAGGAAACAACAGCGGAGAGAACCGAAAATTCTCAGTGGGTGGTTAACAACTCTACCTTAGGGTATATAAAACACGTCCATCACTCCAAATGCGAAGCAGGCGATTTGGAGTTGTGATCCAATGGGCATCTGATTTTCTTGAGTTCCGGAAGAAAGTGTCTGGAATCCAAATTTTTCCAACCATATTGCTATTTAGCATAAGTACTTTCATGGTGCTGTTAAATTTCAAGCGACTGTCATACCAAGTCTGGGCAAAAATGATGTCAATGGTGTACTCCTGGAAAAGGAGAGGGAGAATAATTTCAGCATAAGGTATCAAATTGGGTAGTAAAAACACTGGAATCAGTCTAGGACAGGGGTCAGCAAACCTTTTCAGCAGGGGGCTGGTCGACTGTCCCTCAGACCTTGTGGAGGGCCAGACTATATTTTGAAAAAGAAATATGAAAGAATTCCTATGCCCCACAAATAACCCAAAGATGCATTTTAAGTAAAAGGACACATACTACTCATGTAAAAACACGCTGATTCCCGGACCATCCGTGGGCTGGATTTAGAAGGCGATTGGGCTGGATCCGGCCCCCGGGCCTTAGTTTGCCTACCCATGGTTTAGGTTCAGATCCTATGGGTAGTACAGTGGTGCCCCGCAAGACGAATGCCTCGCAAGACGAAAAACTCGCTAGACGAAAGGGTTTTGCGTTTTTTGAGTCGTTCCGCAAGACGAATTTCCCTATGGGCTTGCTTTGCAAGACGAAACGTCTTGCGAGTTCTTGCGAGTTTGTTTCCTTTTCTTAAAGCCGCTAAGCCGTTAATAGCCGCTAAGCCGCTAATAGCCGCTAAGCCGCTAATAGCCGTGCTTCGCAAGACGAAAAAACCGCAAGACGAAGAGACTCGTGGAACGGATTAATTTCGTCTTGCGAGGCACCACTGTATCCAACTAAAGTGTCCTACATATAAGCAGGGCTTTCTTTCAGCCAGAACTCACTGGAACTCAGTTCCGGCATCTCTCAAGGAGGCACCATTGTGCATTTTAGGATAAATTCACACTAAGCTGCTGACAAATATCAATGAGGTCTTTTTAAAAAACAACATGAATTGCTGTGGAAATGTGGAGAAAATATTTTCAGATGGGGAAAATGAGAAACTGAAATTGGTAAGATTCGTCTATCCCTACTTCTGATCAAAGAAACAATAGGGTTTGGGTTTTCTGGTTTTCACCCCTCTATGCCATTTGAAGCACAGGAGGGAGATAGCAGGCTAAGGACTGCCTCTTTCCGTACGAACCTACCCAGACCCTGAGATCATCTTCTGAGGCCCTTCTTTGTGTGCCTTCTCCTTGAGAGGTCCAGAGGGTGGCAACATGAGAACAGGGCCTTCTCTGCAGTGGCCCTGCAGTGTGGAATGCTCTCCCCAGGGAAATTTGCCTGGAGCCTTCATTACACACCTTTAGGTGCCAGGCAAAAACATTCCTTTTTAACCAGGCCTTTGGTTGACCTGATCAACATCCCATACCCTTTTAAAATCTGGCTCTTTTGGGGGCATGTATTACTGGGTTATTGTTTTTATTTTTATTTTATATACTGGGATCTTTTTATGTGAACTGCCCTGAGACCTCCGGGTATAGGGCAGTATATAAATTCAATAAATAGTAAATAATAATAATAATAATAATAGCAGGAGAAAGCTCACTGCCACCTTCCATCACATTCACATTGCTTGGATCCATCACCCTTCTCACATTTCTGAGGGGTTATGTCTGCAGCAGGGAGCTTGTGTGTGATTTAGAACCACGGATGATCAGCTTCCATGAGCAGAGAAGGCTATGGAGTTAAAGGTAAAGGTAAAGGGACCCCTGACCATTAGGTCCAGTCGTGGCCAACTCTGGGGTTGCGGCGCTCATCTCGCTTTACTGGCCGAGGAAGCCGGCGTATAGCTTCCGGGTCATGTGGCCAGCATGACTAAGCCGCTTCTGGCGAACCAGAGCAGTGCAAGGAAACGCCATTTACCTTCCTGCCGGAGAGGTACCTATTTATCTACTTGCACTTTGACGTGCTTTCAAACTGCTAGGTTGGCAGGAGCAGGGACCGAGCAACGGGAGCTCACCCCGTCACAGGGATTCAAACCACCAACCTTCTGATCGGCAAGTCCTAGGCTCTGTGGTTTAACCCACAGCGCCACCCGTGTCAAAAAAAATAGCCTATGGCACCCGGTATTCCCATCCAAGTACTAACCAGGCCTGACCCTGCTTAGCTTCCGAGATCAGACAAGATCGGGCGTGTTCAGGGTAGTATGGCCGTAGACATACTACGGAATTACGGTATTTACATGCAATTCCATGTCTGGCTCCTTCATCCCAGGCCAACGCATGAACTTCTAGCAGTGAGGCTTCGCTACCACACATGCAGTACAATAAGAGATAAACAGGAAATAAAATGTCAGGGCCAATGACCTCCTGTAATCATCTGCAACAAACTGTTAAGAAGGAGCTGCAGTCAATCAGAGCTCCTTGGTTGTGTACCCATATGAAGCACGTTTGCAAATATAGGTATATTTCATTTACACTTTGCACATTCAGGGGTACACATTAAAGATTGTTGGTGTACACCTCAAATCTGTAAGGTGTGAAGAGGCCCTGAGATGGCTGGCGTCAACAGCAAACATTGAGCTGTCTGTATGCCACAAACGTAGGATTTCACCCTCTGAATTTAGTTCTAATTAGGTAATCTGGTTTCTACATGAGGAAACTGAGCTAAGTAGCACACACTGTGGAGCCTCTCTAATCACAATTGCCAACATTTTTTATTTTTTTTAGTGAAAGCGGCTGGGTGCCAAACTCTTGAAAATCAGCTTCATTCAATTACAGATCTAGCTTCTAACTTTAGGCATCTAATTCCAGTAACCCTGCCTGCATTCTATGTCTGTAAACTGATGAATTCCTGTGGTGTGACATGGTCACATTGTTCCTCTTTCAAGAAGTTGGATTAATATTTTTAATACAGTAGGAGCAGATCAAAGGAGGAACATCAGTCATTTAGATTTCACTGAGAAGTCTGCTTTGACTGCCAAATCACCTTTATTTTTGCGTTCCAATTCCGGAGACTTTCACGCGACTTTTTCCATTGTTCTGCAGCCTTTTTCAATATAATTATGACTTCCATGGCCTGTATCTTAGCCCAGTTCCTGAGCTTTGATTCAAATAAGTTTTCTATGTGCCTGACAATGGATAGAACTGCCTTTGCTGAAGTTCCTCCTATGAGCAAGGAGATGTCAGCAGGGAAGCCCCAAAGTATTCAGAAGCACAAACTAGTTAGCAAAAAACTGAGAGGGGGAACCCCGAAAACAGCCCAGCAATGGCTATGGGTGACCTTGGGCCAGTCACACTTCTTTGAAGTCTCTCAGCCCCACTCACCTCACAGAGTGTTTGTTGTGGGGGAGGAAGGGAAAGGAGAATGTTAGCCGCTTTGAGACTCCTGAAGGGGAGTGAAAGGCGGGATGTCAAGTCCAAACTCTTCTTCTTCTTCTTCTATGCACTCAGTGGCCACAGAATGCCAACCAATGGTTGTGTATGCTACAAAGCCAGTGATGAGGGGGAAAGGAATGAAGTATCGTGGAGAAAGGCATGTACCACTTGGGTTTCTGGCTTAGCTTCATGACAATAGTTGAAATGAAAGGCAAGACACTTGAATAATAAGAAATAGCAAAATACCACACTGGCAAGAAAGGTAGTATATTTTAATGGCTCCTTGGGTTGCAGTGTGCTTTTCTGTGAGTCTAAAGACACACAGTAAACACAACATCTTTGAGTCTACACTATTCCCCGTGACTGAATGACCGTCAATTGTATAAAATAATTTAATAACTGGCTTTTACATGTTTGTCAGGGCAATTCACAAATATGTGTTGTTAAGGGCAAGTTTCCTAATACAGTGGTACCTCAGGTTACATACGCTTCAGGTTACATACGCTTCAGGTTACATACTCCGCTAACCCAGAAATAGTGCTTCAGGTTAAGAACTTTGCTTCAGGTTGAGAACAGAAATTGTGCTCCGGCGGTGCGGTGGCAGCAGGAGGCCCCATTAGCGAAAGTGGTGCTTCAGGTTAAGAGCAGTTTCAGGTTAAGTACGGACCTCCGGAACGAATTAAGTACTTAACGCGAGGGACCACTGTAGTATAAGAAGGATGCCTGTATGAGCCTAACATGAAGAAAGGCTGCTTCTTTAGAAAACTGTAGGGTTGTTTACTACAAATGATATCCTTTTTTAAAAAAATAATACCCACCTGTTCACTACATCTCTCACACTGCATTCCTAATTTTCACACCGTGAATTTTCTTTTTAAAAGGCACATCAGTCACCTTTACATTTGGATGATACCTATCAAGCAACCTGACTGTAGCAAACTTCTCCATGGATGACCCCCCCTGTCCTACAAGGCTTGGGTGATGTGGCACAAACTTCAAGAGCTGAAGAAGAAGATCATTCCAATGTAGTAGGGGTGCTAGTCAATTTGACCTTTACAAATTCTGATATGAAACAACCTGATCTGCATCTCCTGCCTGGATGAGAACTTAGCACAGGGTCAGACCCTGTGCGAAGCCAAAATTTGGTGCCACCCTCCTCTTGCCTTCCATTCTTCTCAATTCATGATGTCAAAGTCGTTATGCCCTGCATAGAACTAATTGTGCTGCCCTAACTCGGCCCCTGCTTAGCTGTTCATTGGCTTTTCCACTTCCTGAATGTTCAAATGCAAAGTATATCAAAAATGCATTTAACAATGTGCAAAATGTGTGTGTTGGGATGTTATGTACTGAGCTTGGATGCTAGAACAATAGGTAGCTAGGATCCTAGAATGCAACAACCTGATTGGCCTGCAGGAGCAGACCAATCAGGCCCCAGGAGGAAGTTAATCAGCCTATCAGGTCGGTAGGATTCTGGAATGCAACAACCTGATTGGCCTGCAGGAGCAGACCAACCAGGCTCCAGGAGAGAAGCAGAGTCAGCCAATCACATGGGACCCTTTGTGTAAATAATGTATATAAAGCCTGAGGTTTGGGGGGGGGGGGAATCAATCACTGATCCTATGAGCTGAAATAAAGAGCATGAAGTCACTACTCGACTCTGAGTATATTTCATGGGAGCAAATGCATTTCTTTAAATATGTATTCTAAAGCAGGAGAAATGGGAACGATGTGAGCGAATGACATATGAAAGTGACACAGATGAGAAATCAGTCCATCAGATGAAATGGGTTGGAACAGATTATGTGCACCTGCAAGAGCCATCATTCCATGCAGTAGAGGTTTACAAAGCCGTTAGCACATAAATGGGCAGAGAGTGTTCACGTTTTCTAGTTTGCCTCTCTTTCCCTGCGGTTTGGCAGCAACCATCTAACATCTGACCCAAACATCTGCACCAATGCTCTGTGTGCCATACCATAATTGCAGGTGTGGGTACTGATTCATCAGACTTTGGGCAGAAATCCTTACTCGTATAACATTCTCTTTTGATTTCATATCCAGACACTGTTTTTCATCTCCCACATAAACTGTAATAAGACATCCAGACAACCTCATTCTATTTATTCTTCTCCCAACAGCATTCAGATCCATCACATTAAAAAGACTGCCATGCTTATCAGTAGGAGGGAAATTACTCCTCCTGACCAAGGCATGCATTTCCTCCCAATATCTTTCTCTATTCCTTAATGGAGCATTAGACTTTACAAATTGGCCACTTCATCTTGCAGAGCCTCTACTGGTCAGTAATTGAGTTTCTATTAATTTTAATCTCATGACAAAGGTAACGTATTCATCTGAATAAATTGCTGTGCTGCCCAGAATAAGCAAACATTGTATCATCTTATGATGTTTACTCTGATAAATGCCACCATGCCCTTTATACAATACAAATAAAAAGCATTTTGAGTTCCTAGGGAAGTGATACCAAATGCACTATGGCAGCCATGTAGTATGTGGGTGGGAGGGTTCATCTTCCCTGCATGGATTCCCATGGGTCTGAACTGATCCTTGTTTTCCCCATTCCTCTTCACCCCACCTACACATGCAGAACATGGCCACACCAAGAATGAAACAGCTGTGAGCATCTCCCATATACCCACCCAGTCTTCTGTGTGTCTGCATCATGCAAGTTACTCATCAACATCTGGAAGATTGCTAGAAGGGAATATGAGAGGTACACATGAACCTGCCATGGTCCTTCAGTGCTTGGGCACTAATATAGCCCTAGGCAGGTGGGCCTGTTGTCTTTGTGGAAGTGAGAGCTGGACCATAAAGGCTGATCACCGAAGAATTGATGCTTTTGAATTATGGTGGAGGAGACTCTTGAGAGTCCCATGGACTGCAAGAAGATCAAACCTCTCCATACTTAAGGAAATCAGCCCTGAGTGCTCCCTGGAAGGACAGATCCTGAAGCTGAGGCTCCAATATTTTGGCCACCTCATGAGAAGACCCTGGAAATGACCCTGATGTTGGGAAAGATGGAGGGCACAAGGAGAAGGGGACGACAGAGGACGAGATGGTTGGACAGTGTTCTTGAAGCTACCAGCATGAGTTTGACCAAACTGCGGGAGGCAGTGGAAGACAGGAGTGTCTGGTGTGCTCTGGTCCAGGGCAAGAGTCGGACACGACTAAACAACTAAACAACAACAGGCAGGTGGGCAGGTGTGAGACAAGACTTTATTTTGTCTTTAGGAATCCTCCACATACAGCTAATGCACCTACTTTCTGGTTCAGCTGAACCTGGAATATGTCCTGAAGTTGCCAGGTAGAAAATACAAGCTGTATCGCTTCAATGCTTTATTATTATGAGTCGTGTCAAATGTGTTGAGCAGGCAGTTATGCACATTTATATAACAAATGCTGTTGTGTTTATTTTTATATTGCTCTGGAAAAGTGGTTTGCTTCTGTGAGAAGGCAGCGGCAGCAGCAGCCACACAGAAACAAAATATGTTATTTTTTAAGATTTTGGGGCACGATCCCACACCGCAGGTCTGCAGGTTGAGGGGTGCGATATGTCGCTGCCATGATGGATACAATGGTGGGGAACCTCAGATATGCTGCTGGAACACATTGCGGAGCAGTTCTGCTGGCACAGATAGGCAAGCAGGAATGCTAAATTGGGACCAAGCTGAGGAGGATAGAATTTGGAGCAGCACAGCGGAGAATCATAAACAAACTATGCCACTTCTGTCCACGACAAGGGAGCCAGTGTGGTGTAGTGGTTAAGAGCGGTGGACTCGTAATCTGGTGAACCGGGTTTGCTTCCCTGCTCCTCCACATGCATCTGCTGGGTTACCTTCGGCTAGTCACACTTCTCTGAAGTCTCTCAGCCTCACTCACCTCACAGAGTGTTTGTTGTGGAGGAGGAAGGGAAAGGAGACTGTTAGCCGCTTTGAGACTCCGTAGGGTAGTGATAAAGCGGGATATCAAATCCAAACAATACATTTGTCAATGACAAAACTGTAGAACAGATGCAGACATAGTACAAGAAATTTCATACTTTCTGACTTCAAGGGGAACTTTTCAAATAAATAACCCACAATGCACCAATGTTTTCCCCACCCATTTCACTATGGCAGAACATAGGTTAAGGGAGCAGATTTCCATCCCCTCTCACAGACCCAAGTTTAGCAGAGCCATCATTGACTGGCTCACCTGATTCTTTGTTGTCACCTTTGAACTTACCTGATGCACAGCATCAGGGTGGAAGGGGAGCTGGTCACCACCACCACCAGAGGTTGGGGGTAGGTCCTGTAGGTATGTGCCTACGCCCTTTCTATTGCCACATGCATACAGCTCCTTGCCTGCTGAGCCACTTCATCAGACAGATGGAGCAAGCCTACATTCAGGGTGAGTGACTGTGGTAACAGGTGGATGTTGATGCCTGCCTAGGTAAGGTAGTCATCCATCGTGCCTGTGGGGGGAGCAGAAGCAGGTGGTAGGTTTTGCTGTTGCCCTGGAGGGCTTACAAAGTCTCTGCGGTGGGAGGCCGGATGCAGCCCTTGTCTGTAATGACCAGCTGGCCAGTCAGTTTTCCAGGGTCCTAAAACAGGAAGTCTCCATGAGCACAGAAAGCCTTCACTTTCCACAAGTTGGAAGGAGATGGGGACAGAGAAGAAAGAGATGGAGCTAGCATACTCTTCCTCACTGCCTCAAGTGTTTACATGGACCTCACTGGAATGCCTGAAGAGGGCTAAGATGTGACAGGTTTTTCAATGGCCTTAGAAGTGTATTGGACTAACTTGTTGTAGGTGTATCTATGTACAATACATAGGCACACATTGCAACTCTTGAAATCTTCACACACAAAAACATTTCTCTCCCACTACCTTGCAGCATAATGAAGGACATTATGTAAAGTAAACAAGCCACACATGCTGGAATGGACTGACTGTTCTCTTCATTATTTTTCCATTCTTGCATCTCCAACCTTGAGCACATAAGCATGATTTAGGAGGCAGGCTGTGCTGTAAACACCAAGTAAACAAACTCTGTTGAGTGACAGCACTAGAATTTATTGCGTCTGAAGCCCACCTCCTTGATCCACACAGAGCACAGTCACTTAGACTTGTTGAAGTCTTTACTAGGGATGGGGCTTAGCAGCTAATACTGTTTCCTTTCACTCTTGCTGGCACCCAACCATAACTCTGTTCCGTTCCATTCCATTCCGTCCTGCTGTGTGCCACTGCAAGAATTTTGTGATCAATCTTTTATGTAAAACCCACAGTTTTTACATAAAATATACACTTTCCAATGCAGCTATCCATATGCATTTCTTCACACAGCTTTTACATAAAATAGGTATTTTTGTGCACACTTTTTGCACAGTGAAAAAGAATCGTAAAACCCAAAGAAGTGCATGACTGGAATGGGACTTGTGGTTCGATCCAGAAGCATTTTTTGGAATGAGCCACTGCAAAAAGAAGACCAAATTATTTTCCTGTCCCTAAACCAGGCATGGCCAAACTTGGCCCTCCAGATGTTTTGGGACTACAACTCCCATCATCCCTGACCACTGGCCCTGTTAGCTAGGGATGATGGGAGTTGTAGTCCCAAAACATCTGGAGGGCCAAGTTTGGCCATGCCTGGTCTAGACTTTACTTCTCTCTATGTAGAGCCAGCTCTAGGGACAACAAAATAGCAACATCAGGCACTGCCACTCTCACTAAGACTGGAGCCCTCAAAGAGGACAGCGGGAGCATGAAAAAGATCCAAGGTTAAGGAGAGGGGGGTCCCCACTGGAGATCCCATGCCAAAGCCCCAAGAATTCCAGTTCTGGAGTGAGCATCCTGAAGTAGCTCACAAGCAATTCAAGTTAATTGCTACCAATGAAGCACAATTTTATACCAAGTTTAAATTAAGGGTATTTCTATGAAGAGGTGTCTAATTTAGGAAGTGATAAGAAACCAAGACCTACAAGTATCTCATGTTGTGATTATCACGGGCAGACCTCATTAGACATAAATTACAATGACCTTCAGTGGCACCTCAGTCACCTACAGGATAAAGATGCTGTACTACCCTGTCATTTTATTAATAGAGTTCACAAAAACATCAGTTTTGCAAGATATTGGGGTGGGTTTTTTTAAATGAAAAAGATACAGTGCTAAAGCCCCATTCACAGGTAGTACATGATTGTGTAGACAAGCCTTCCTCAAACCTGGTATCCTCCAAATATTTTGGGTTGCAACTCCCACCAGTCCTCCTCAGGTGTCCTGATCGCATGGAGCCTTTACTCTTAAGGAGAAAGACTTGCTCTGGGCTTTCTTTAGATACATCCACACAAATGACATGATTGTTGAAATACAAAGAGGTGACATCAGGGTAGAACTAAAAGCATGACGCCCACTCCATGCTTCTGAGTAGTCATGTTACTTTAGGTCAGGGGTAGCCAACACTGTAGCGCCCTTCAGCTTGTTGTTAGACTGCAACTCCTATTATCCCTGACAATTGGCCATCTTGGCTGGGGCTACTGGGAATTGTGATTCATAATATTTGGAGGGCTACCTCTTCCCTAGATACTGCACCTTTTGCTTTTGGTAAAATATAAAGGTGCTGATTAGGGACGTGGGTGGCGCTGTGGGTTAAACCACAGAGCCTAGGACTTGCCAATCAGAAGGTCGGCGGATCGAATTCCCGCGCCTGGGTGAGCTCCTGTTGCTCGGTTCCTGCTCCTGCCAACCTAGCAGTTCGAAAGCACGTCAAAGTGCAAGTAGATAAATAGGTACCGCTCTGGCGGGAAGGTAAACGGCGTTTCCGTGCGCTGCTCTGGTTCGCCAGAAGTGGCTTAGTCATGCTGGCCACATGACCCAGAAGCTATCTGCGGACAAACCCCAGCTCCCTTGGCCAATAAAGCGAGATGAGCGCCGCAACCCCAGAGTCGGCCACGACTGGACCTAATGGTCAGGGGTCCCTTTACCTTTTAAAGGTGCTGATTGCCTAAGACTCACACATTTATGACAAACTAAAATGTTTGAGGGAGTTGTGGTAAACTTTCTTACAGTACATAATTTTGCACAGGGATTTGCTATCAGGTGCAATCCTGTATACCCTTACCTGGAAAAAAGTTTCATTGAATTCAATGGAACTTCTGTCATCTATGCTCTAGTAACTTCTAGGTTATACGTAGGGCTGGCTGCCTCTGAAGGCAGTTTGGAAACTTCAGCTGGCACAGAATTCAGCCTCCAGGTTGCTCACAAGATGGTTTGCGCATACAATGCCAACCCGGCTGCCAATTAATTTCCCATTAATTCCCATGACCCATTGTCATGTTTGTCAGGTTCATTAATTTCAGTGGGTCTACTCGGACTCGGACTAATGTTACATGGGCAACCCACTGAGTAGTGTACTAATTGTGTTATTGATTACTTTGATTGCTAGATTGCATTTATATTGCCTTTTTGCTAAGGCACCCAATTTAAAAATGGTATCAAATATATAGCAACAGAGTCCTCTCAATCTGCTGTTATCAGGAGCTGAACCATATGTTCTCTCTGGCCTGGGCCTCCTCATTTATGCCTTTCCTCTGGGCACTCTAATTGGTTTGTTGTACATCTTATTGTTTTGTTTTAAATTGCACTGTAAGCCACCCTGGGATAAGTATCATGAATGCTGATAAATACCTTTTTTAAAAAAGGCATCTAGTGCTAACTCTAAGTAAAGGGACCCCTGACCATTAGGTCCAGTCGCGGACGACTCTGGGGTTGCGGCGCTCATCTCGCTTTACTGGCCGAGGGAGCCGGCATTTGTCCTCAGACAGTTTTTCCAGGTCATGTGGCCAGCATGACTAAGCCACTTCTGGCAAACCAGAGCAGCACACGAAAACCCTGTTTACCTTCCCACCGGAGCGGTACCTATTTATCTACTTGCACTCTGACGTGCTTTTGAACTGCTAGGTTGGCAGGAGCTGGGACCGAGAAACGGGAGCTCACCCCGTCGCAGGGATTTGAACCGGCGACCTTCCAATTGGCAAGCCCTAGGCTCTGTGGTTTAGACCACAGCACCACCCGCGTCCCCCTAGTGGTCACTCTACCACCCATCAAATTTGTCCCTTTCCCTGGACTCTGTCTTCCACAACATTCCCCCTTAAATCCTGAAAATGAGATGCCTCTGAATAATGATACAATATTATACCGTGGAAAAGACAACAATGAGAAACAACAGCATAAAATAGATGATTCAAGGGAGAAGATATATTGAGTAATGATGAATGTAGAATAAAATTGTGATCCTAACTGACCTGGAAAAATGGTGTGAAAGAGAGCTCGGAAGGCTTTGGGGTAAATATTTGGGGTAGCTTTTCAAAACAAGCCAATTGCAAAAGTTGGCAAAAACCCAGAAATGAATCTAAAAATTATTTCAAGGTCTTATGGTAATTTGTTGAAGTAATTAATCTTTTAGCACTAACTATTCCCACTTACAGCTAAGTGTTATGCAAAGTTATCAAAATATTTTAACAAACAAAACTCTTACCTGGAAATTATCATCTATTTTGAATGTTTTGAAAATGTAAGCTGTGAACTACGGTGTTTGGCATCAATCCCTGAATGCTAACACAATCACCTTGCTGAATAACTATGCAGCCAAAAACATGGAAACAAACTCAATGAATTCTCGTAAAAGTTTGCTGCATATAGATTGTTGAAGCAAAGAGAAATAGGCAGACACTTAACACCTTGACAAAAATCAATCCAGTTTGTGACAGGGTTTCTTCCCCCCACCCCACCCTTTTCTTTCTTTATTTTAAAATTTCTAAACACTCTCAATCTGAATAGCTCCTCTCAGGGTGGTTTACTACAAACACAGCTTTCTGAGCCATGGTTGCTATTCAGTACTGAGGGTTTTACCTGAGAGGGTCTCTTAAATAATTATTTAGGGGTGTCAAAGGCATTATGCAAGATCCATAGGTTTTCTTCCTATGGCTATTGGAAGTCAGTGTAGCTACAAGATCAGAAGCTCTGAAAAGGTACACACACACACAGAGAGAGAGAGAGAGAGAGAGAGAGAGAGAGAGAGAACACAGAGCTGTCCAGAGCTGTGCTTAGAGGAGATCATTACTAGGTATGGACAAATGCCACCATTTGATGACTTGTGTTCCATTTTTGCATTAATCTTCAATTTTAAAAAAATCTTCATGAAAATTCACATCTAAATAACATATCTGAAAGTATTATATCTCAAAATACACATTTTAAATTACATTTTGATATTTTTAAACCAGCAGCAGCAGCAATTGCACTACAACATTCAGAGAAGTGAAAAATCTGATTGATAGCAATGTTTGAATTGGCGTTTTAGTCCAGAAGTCGTGAATCTCAGTACAGTCTATATCAGAATTCACGAAGATGAAAGCCCTCTTTACACATTCTATATTAGTGTTAAACAAACATGTAAAGTGGGGTCACAGTGACCCTTCTGATCACCCTCCGCAAATTAGAGGGTGCTCTTTTGCATATTTTAGAATCCTAGCAAATCAGGGTTCTAAAACACAGTATGATCAGAATGTTGGTCACCCTCCTACAATCAAAACTGCCTCAGTCCCAAATTGGAAGTCAAAAGCTACCTTACTAAAGCTTCAGCAGCATGCAAGTTTTCCTACCTTGCATATTTTAACAGCATAAGTACCTAAACAGTATTTGTTGGTATTTAAATATACTTAGATCATATTCCATTTTCGCCTAATTTAGTTTTGATCTGCCAAGCAGTCATTTACAGATTGTCAGGAGGATACGAAGTAAAAGGGAGTCATTGAATAAGGTTAGTGTAGTTCTATTTCAAATGTTGCCTTTGTCTTCTATGACTCTTAATTCGGCTAGATTTTCCTTGATAACAAAAGTAGCTTCTAAAGAATACTTGATGTCTCAGCTATCTCAGTCAAAATAATAGTTGCTTTTCAAAAGCACAAGGTTATCTTATCTCTTGATAGTGTGAGAGGCATTGGAAAGCAGATGGATATCAAAAAATAATCTTACCTTGGAAGTTCTATTGTAACTATAAACTTACCATATTAATTGGATCGACCGGACCAATGCTGTTAACATAGACATCAGTTTCAATTACTGTAGTTCTCACTAAACAAAACAGTAAGCATAATTCCATGTGAAATGCGGTGCTTCCTTTGTTGTCGAGTAATGTAATTTTTTTGTGAATCAATAGAAGACCACACCATTAGTCTTCCTAATGCATCCCTTTCTGTGGACACACAGCTTCATGGGCATTGTACACAGCTTGGTACTGACCTTCAGGTGGTATGCTATGCTACTATGCTGAGCACACTGCAACATGCCTGGCCATTTTTAACAATGGGGTACCATTCCACACCTCAAACTGGCATCCAGTTGCCCACTACTCTCCAGGCCCACAGCAAGCTATTCTATGGGAGCTCAAGCTCTGCAAGCCCAAGGTACCAAGTTCAGTACCCCATAACTCCAGGTTACAATGGAACAGGTAAATGATGATGCACCTAGGACCCTGAGAAACAGGTGTCACTCAGAATAGACAATACACCCTTGTGCAAATTAATTGAAACAAAGCATGTTTCAATCCTGTACTCAAAACAAACACAAAAAAGTGAGTTGATCATTATGGTGTCAGAAGCCTGCAGCCAGTAGAAGGTATGATGCGCTCGCCACAATATAGTGAGGTTCTACGAAAGAGAGTTATTCCAGAGCTGGAAAAGAGGTATCCTGATGGTCCTGGGATATTGCACCAGGACCTAGCCCCCTGTCACACACTGAAAGCGATAAAGAGATTCATGACAGAGCAGCAAATAGAGGTAATTGATTGGCCAGGGAATTCCCTGGACTTAAATCCCATTGAGAATTTGTGGACTATATGCAAAAGTCGCCTCCGTGCTGTAGACTGTACGACTACGGAGAAGCTCATTCAGGCGCGGATTCAAGTGTGGTACAGGGATCCGAAAATCAACAGTGACTGTTCAAAACTAGTAGACTCCATGCCAAACCGTGTTCAAATGCTGCTTAAAAATAGCGGAGGTCATATCCGTTACTAATGTACGTACGGTATATGTGAGTTTTGTACATGTATATGTGAGTTTTGTAGAATAAACTACATTGTTTGTTTCAATTAATTTGCACAAGGGTGTAAAAGGCTACATGGACCAATAGTCTGATAGTATAAGGGAGTTCCCTATGTACTCCAACATGGAACATTAGAGGAGCACATAGAGAAAACAGCTGTTGAATGCCCATATGTGGTACATGGAAGGGTTCCCTGCTATATAATGTAGCCAGCTAGGCAGAGGTTTTGCTGGCATATCAGCAGAATCCCTGCAGAAGGTTGGCAGAGGAAGAAGAGAAAGGATTGGCACTATTCAGTGCCAATCAGCACTTCCTCCTGAAAACACAGAGTTGCTTGCCTACTGCTCTGCACATTTGGGAGGGGGTAGATCAGGCCAAACACCTGTAATTTATCAACTAAAAAATGTTCTTAATATAAGCATCATGCTTCGGTGGAACACCTCATCTAAAACTTTGCTCTTCTATTTATGTTCAGACCCAATGTACACAGACGTCCCATTGAATTGAATGGGTCTTATTCCTAGGTAAGTACTGTAGGATTGCAACCTTAGTTGACATAAAATATTGTTTATTAACATGGATCATATTAAAACATTGGGGGAAAAGGGTTTTTTAAGCTTTTAAAGCTGGGGCACGGGGAGCGGATGGCAAGCATTCATACTCCAAATTATGATTAATGCATAAAAGTAACAAATGGGTAAAACCAATCAAATACACCACTAATTATGCAGCCTGCAAATTAATACATTGAAAACACAAAACCAATTCTTTCCTCTCAAATATGCTCTTAGCAAAGATAGGTTTAGAAAATCCATTAGCTTCTTCAGCCCTCGTAATTGTATCCCGACCAAAGCACAACTCAGGTTTATTAATATCTCTTCAGCTAGACTCTTGATCAATACACTACACCGGGCACAAAATCAATCACTTATATGAAAGAACAGTGACTCAGAACTTAATTGTTATGTTGCAGAGTATTTTCAAACTTAACTTCAAAGAAAACATCTTCACCAGCCCACTCCCCTGTCCTTGTCTGCCTGAGCAATAATTCATTTAATTGTGAATTTCTCTCTGCCCGGGAGCCACCTGGGTCATACACATAAACTTTAAAAACTATAATACACATTTCACAGCCCACCCCAAATCTAACAAAATGGGGTGGGTAGCAATGTAATCAATGTCATCTCCAGATAACCTCAATAGCTAATGAGCAACAGTTGTCATTTGAGCCTATCTCCTTGTGCCATAAGAAAGGTGGTTCCTCACTTTGAAAGCAGACCTTCATTACCGTATTTTTTGCACCATAACACTCACTTTTTTCCTCCTAGAAAGTAAGGGGAAATGTCTGTGCGTGTTATGGAGGGAATGCCTATGGGTGGCATGCCTACGGATTTTCCTCCTCTAAAAACTACGTGCGTGTTATGGTTGGGTGCGTGTTATAGAGCGAAAAATACGGTATTTTTCAGGTATCGTATGTAAACAGAGTTCATTGCTGCAATTGGGGGGGGGGGTAGGTGTGTGGCTTCAGGTTGCTTTCCCTTTGTGCAAGATAGGATAGAAATGTGACTATGATCCATTAAGCAATTAAAGAAGTGCAATCAAAAGAGGAACTTTCAGCATGGAAGAGTTTAGTGATTTGTTTGTCTTTTTATCTGGACTATGGCGGTTGTAGAAAAGCCAGGAGTAACTTTACAATAAAATCAGTATATTGAATCTCTGCTTTTAATAGGCACACAGGTCCGACTTTCCAAACGCAATGCATTCCCAAGAAATTGTTCATTAGGCAAGTGTTCACATAATGCGCTGAGGGTTTCCACTATTTCCTATGGGAACATTTCTAATTTGTTGCATCTCCCTCCCGGCCCTGGTTGCTGCCAGAAACTGCTGCAGTCAACCAGCAAAAGGCAAACAAAGCAAAGACCGATTTGTCCAAACTCTCCTTCTCCCTCCATGGTTTCGGCCCAATATGGCTGCCGCTGACCAGCAAAGCACAAACAAGTAAGGAAGTGGGCAAATCCCAGCTGTTCAGATATCTGAACCCTCAGTTGTTGTAGTGAGGTTTGGGTATAATTGTTTTTGTTTGGATAACTGACATTTTGGATAATGAGTGTTCCACTAGCGGGTCTTACATGCATTACATTAAACAGACACTTTGTGATAAGTTAGATTCTCCTAACAGAGGACCCATGTTGTGCTCGGCCCTGGAACTCTTCCCCCAATTGGCTTGTGGGCGGGGCTTGCCCCACTCCAAGCCGGTGGTGCCACAGTTAAGCCAATGGCCTTTAGCCAATCAGCAGTGTGGCAAGGTTGGGGGTTGGGGATATTTATTTGGCAGCGCAACGTTGGGACCTCCTTTTGCTTCGCGCTGCCGAACACCTGCCCACCCACCCGTTAATTAGGTCGTGTTTGGCCTTGCTTTGGACTTTGGTTGGTCGCCTGTTTTGGAACGGGAGCCGGGTAGGAATTTTGTCCAATGTGGCAGATTGGTTGTGGCCACTTGGTTTTTGCCTACCTCTTAGCAATCGTCACAACTTTGTAAGGTTTGGCGGTTAGGCATTGGTTTAGGGGAATGTGGGGGGGGGGAGGTGCAGCCATCACCTGCCCCTCCAATTAATAGGGTATTCCGTTAAAGGAATCCGGGGGTCTGGATCTCATCTGAAGCCTGGAGAGGGGCTAGGGCCATGCCAGGACCCCCGGGAACCCCAGGGGTGAGCACCAGTCAATATACATTGATGGCGCTCCCCCTGCTGGTAGTTTACCCTTCCAGGCTTCCTGCTAGGGTGGGGCAGGAGCCAATTATAGTTTTGATACCAATGCCTAAGTCAATACCAGTCACATTTGTGTATTTAATAAAGTTGTGGCCAAAATTTGCCCATTAACATTTAAACTAAATTCTGTCTCCACTGTATTTCCATGGGGGATGCGTTTTGGGGCTCGGAGCACAATTATCCCAGAATTAGAGGCCTGATCCAGTATGCTGCCAAGATATGTCAAGAACAAAAACAGCTGTTGCCAAGATGTATTCAATATATATTCTTTTAAAACTGAAATTTTAATACCACTTACCTCCAATATCTGGTCGGAGTTTATTATCATAGCCCTGGAGTAAAGAGTTCAGTATATGAGTGACATCTCCTTCGTGAATCTTTGGAGCAAGTACCCATGTTTTGTTCACAGTTAGGTCTTCGTCATCTTCATCATCTGCTTTATCCATGCTAATGGTAGTTCAATGAAAGGTTGGGAGAGGGAAAATAATGGAACTTAGCAGTGTGAAGAATGAAATATTCAACAATCAGTGTTGCATAAAATAAATATGCAAAAGCATTGAAATAGCAGCAGTTAGGGTCACAATGAAACAAAAAAATGTGTTCAAAAATACATTTAACTGTTCATTCCTAGCCCAACTATCTTCATTTTCCTAAAAATCAGTCAACTTGATCACAGTGAAGTTGTATAATTAAACACTGTGCATTTTAGTGAAATTAGCAGAACTAGAGTACCACAGGTCTGTAACAGCAACTCCCAATATAATTTATATGGGGCTTACTCATGCATGTTTTCCTTTAAAACTTCTGATAATTTTTTAAAAAGAATTTTATTAAAAATCTGTAACGATTTTCTTTTGACACAAGTGAGTAAAATTTGCAAGCAAGCTAGTCCCTCAAGAGTAGATACAACCTGCCAAATTCTAGGCAAATATGTTCAGGGGGTTTTGTGTTGTGTAGTTTCAAATTTAAATTATTATTTTTAAGGAAATGTTAACAATATTTGTTTTATTCTGAAGCAGAATTGAATGAAATTTGTAGGCAAGGTCACCCCTTCTGAGGACATGGACCATGCCAAATTTCCAGTGGATAACGGAAGTATTTTTCTGCGAGGGCAGCCATTGTTGTTTTGGGGTGGGTAATCTCCACCAGCATTCTGTGAGCAATGAGTCTGAAAAGTTCAGGCAAGACAGAAGCACTCATAGCTAAGAAATCCACTGAACTGCAGTTAAAGAGACTCAGGGGCTTTTGCGCTAGATACCTTTTAAAGTTGATTTGTGAATGAGACGAGCCAAAAGGGATTTGGTTTCCAGGTATAATAATTCATAATTCACCCGGAATACAAACTTGCCTGTCAATCGCAATGGAGTTCTCCTTTCCCCCATCACCCCACCCTGGTATTATTCTATATATGATAAAATCTTTCCTTCAACTCCGGCCACCTTCTGCTGATCCCACTTTACCCCAGACAAGCCACAACTCTTTCTGAGGTGCCCTGCTTGGGCTCTGGATTCTTTTGAATCAAATACACATCCTTACTTTTAAGGTATGTACTACATTTATGACCCATGTTTCTGCTAATTCATCCAAGGTGGTTTACAATTTAAAATAGTGTTCTATTCTTATATATGCAATACAAAAAAGGAAGTGGGATGGGGAGGAAAGAGGAAAACAAACAAATCCAGGTATCAGTTCTTACACAGTTGTATTCTCATTTTTTATATATGCATAGAAGGGGTAAAAGATGCTGTTCTTCATTGAGGTGCATATGACACCTGCTATGCAGCGATATACCCTTCTTTTAAAAAAATCCCCAATTTTTTAATATTTACACCTTATAGATTTTTACACTTTTAAATACAAACTTGATATCACACAGACTAAAACAAGGTAGAAATTGTTTTAAAAATGAAGATAATGTATATATAATGCTATTAACAAATTTAGATTGTTGCAAGGTAATCAGAAGGTAATTGTAGCTTTTATGTATGTAAAAAAAAAATCAACGGATGAAATTTGTTCTTTCCAGACTGCTGATTAATCTATTTCGTTATTAAGTTATTCCAGGTTTTCCTATACTAAAGTACCATAATAGGCAGCATACACTTTTGTTCGTGGAATGAAATCCTACATTTAATTTTGCCCGTTTCCATCATATGGCCACATCTTTTTTTCTTGCACTACAGCCCCACAGCCTTCCAGCATCCTACTTTAAGCTGTGGCATGCTGAGCACTTTGCTCAAATTGCTCTAGGACATTCAATCATGTTAGAAGGATTATCTCGCATTCTTCCCTCAGAGATCCAAATCATCACCTGAATGGCTCTCCAGGCTGGCAATGGCAATCGTTATCAAGCCAGAAGCTTCCATATGGAAAGTACAAAGTTATATCAGCTGCGTGTTCAAGTCTGCCTAGTTCTCACTTCCAAAAAGTATTTTAATGGATTCATAGGAGAGGGTCCAAAGACCCAGGCAGATAGTTCCACACTTCCAACAGGGCTGTGGATTTGTGTTTCTAAAACAGCTGTCCTCTTACTCCAAATGGTAAACTGCTTTTGAAATGGGGGTGGCATTCAAAAGTAGTTGGCTATATGGGTGGTGAGATTTTACTTTCTTGGGCTCCATGATCACTGCAGATGGTGACAGCAGCCATGAAATTAAAAGACGCCTGCTTCTTGGGAGAAAAGCAATGACAAACCTAGACAGCATCTTAAAAAGCAGAGACATCACCTTGCCAACAAAGGTCCATATAGTTAAAGCTATGGTTTTCCCAGTAGTGATGTATGGAAGTGAGAGCTGGACCATAAAGAAGGCTGATCGCCGAAGAATTGATGCTTTTGAAATATGGTGCTGGAGGAGACTCTTGAGAGTCCCATGGACTGCAAGAAGATCAAACCTATCCATTCTTAAGGAAATCAGCCCTGAGTGCTCACTGGAAGGACAGACCCTGAAGCTGAGGCTCCAATACTTTGGCCACCTCATGAGAAGAGAAGACTCCCTGGAAAAGACCCTGATGTTGGGAAAGATGGAGGGCACAAGGAGAAGGGGACGACAGAGGACGAGATGGCTGGATAGTGTTCTCGAAGCTACCAGCATGAGTTTGACCAAACTGCGGGAGGCAATGGAAGACAGGAGTGCCTGGTGTGCTCTGGTCCATGGAGTCACGAAGAGTCAGACACAACTAAACGACTAAACAACAACAATATTGGTTGGGGATTAGTTTAGCATTCAATGAAAACAAATCAAACACCCCTCTTGGCATGCACATGCTTATCTTTGAATCTTGGACATTATTATGATGTCCCCAAATGAGGACAGTTAGCAAGTAAATTAGTTGTTCGCAAGTACATTACTGCTAGACTCAATATAATTCTGTTGAATTATTATCTGCATACTCTTATCAAGATGGAAAAAAGGAAGGAGCTGCAGAGTGAAAACAATTGCATGTCCATTTATTACTTACCCTTCAGTTGGATAAAGTATAAATTGCTGTTTTGCAAATACACGCAAGGGGGGGGAAATGGGCAACAGCTTGAGCGTGTCTGCAAATTCATTCAGATGATCCCCTCAAAGGTCAAAGAATGCCTAGAAGTAATTTTCTCTCTATTTGAATCAAATGAGTGCAGACTTTAAATATTCCTCCAGTGCTAAAGTTTGCAATCTCCATTACTCATTCCAATAAATTTTCAAGCAATTGCTGGAGGCTTGAAGTCAAACAAAGTGCACCCAAACTGAAAGTGGTAACCATAGCAGTGATGAGCATATCTTGACAGACAGACAATAGTGAGCATTAATTAATGCGCAGAATGCACATATAGCATGGAGAGAAAACCATTATAAGCCTAAGCTAAGCATAGTTATTTCGGAGGGGGGGGGAATCCTAATATTTTGTAAACATATATTATTGCTGCTTCTTAGTTTCAACAGAGTACTGCCCAATCCAGAAATCTCTCTCTCTGTGTGTAAGTCTGTTACAAAATGGTTCAACCTTTACCAATGGATAACATGGATCTCCATACACAAAGAAATGATTGCATTGATCTGCTTCTTCCACCGAAATGAGTGACCCAAGAAGAGATCAGGGCCACTGTACTGCAATTGCATCCTGCATTGTAGATCCTTCATTGAGTAGAGGGTTGGATCCTTTAAAGAATGTCTTAAGTATAAAGTAGCATATAAATAAATGAAACAAATAAATAGGTGACCTTCGAAGTCCCTTCCAGTTCAAAAATTCTATTATTCCAAGGCAGTTCTGTGCAGGTTCCCATATCTTGGAATGATGGCGTCTAAACTATGGACTCACTTTTAATCTTGCAAGATTGCATGTATTGCCCTCGGCTGTTCTTGAGGGACAATTCCAACAGATTCCACATGGAAAACGTTTATGTCCCTGTGGAGATGGCAGTACCAAATCAGTGGCGCATGTCCTTCTGGCTTGCACTCTTTATAAAGACCTGAGGAATGAAGTTATCACCCCTCTTTTATTGTCCATTCCAGGTCGCCCAGCCACTGCCATAGTGTCCTTTCTCTTGGCTGATCAAGATGAGCAGGTGACAGCAAAGGTTGCAAGGTTTTTAGCTGGGGCAATCAGAATAAGATCCACTATTTGACTATTGATTCAAAACCCTAAAATATATTTTATATAATTGACTTTTTATTTCTATTCTTTGTATATCGTATTGTTGTTTTATTGCTATGGCCGATGGCTGACGCAAATAAAGATTCATTCATTCATTCATTCCTTTCTTGAACTGATGGCTAGATCAGGGTGTTTGACTTTCCAAAAGGAATAGCATTATGGATTCACTAACTGTGGGAGTAGTCTTTTATTCACACAATGGTTTTTATTGGGGTAGAATTGCACTTCCACAAAATAAATTAAGTTTTCATGTCTTTTTAAAGGATTATCAGAGAGCTAGAAAACTACCCTGAACATTATATGAAGAGTGATGCAAAGAAAGGCAATACTGTAGAAATAATCTGTAAAGTCAACCCTACATCTTGAACGTTTTTTATTTTCAGTGTTTATTCTTTTTGTTTGATACATTAGCAAACTGCATTGTTGAATGCAATTTCTATTTAGCACCACATCTTTCCAATCTGTTACTATCCCTCATCCCAGCCTCTCCCATCCCCATTATCCCACTATCTTTCCTTCCTCATTTCCCACTACATCCCATCATATCCCACTCTGTAAATGGGCAAAAGAGGAGGGTGGGAGGAAACTGCAGGTAGATGTGAATATAACTTTACATGGCAAAGCAACACTACCAAACTAATGGAAATCAAGATGTTCAAAGAGTTTTCTAAACTATTAAGCTGTTTTTAAGTAAAATAAAAATAATAGACAGTGTAATGACCAAATGTGTTGCTGGCAGTTCTGTTTTTGAAAGTGTGAAAATAACTTGCCTTCTAACTACCTGAGTGATGCTACACTGAGAATCATGTAGGCATGTATAAATATAAATTGCAAAGTGATCGCACAGATTACTGAGATGGGAATGTGATGCTTTACATACCTGTACACCTTATATTTATTATTGTTATAGTGTGTGCTGCTGTTGCTAATTTGTTGAGAAAGAGAAGGCTGGAATACAGACTTCTGACTTCTCCAGACCCCACTCACCCCACGCAAAAGTACAAGCATGCCTGATCATGTCCTTTGCTCCACCCTTTACAATAGCAATATCCCCAGTAATCAATGAGATGGTGAGCAGGTAATTTTCTTCTTTTTCTAACCCTCATCACTTGCTCCTTAGTGATTTATCCATCCCCCATGGAGATGAATGGTAAGCATTTATTTACACAAAGCAGTATATGTTGGATGGGTGCTCAAAGAGCTGCTCCAAAGTAACTCCTACTGGATTCAGTGGGATTTACTCCCAGGTAAAGGTGGTTAGGGCTGAAACCCAAGTCTGTTCTCGCTGTCCATGGTGAGACCCCTCATTTAAAACATGATCCTGTCTGCAGTTCCATTTCTGGAACGCAGGGAATGGTGAGCTGCCCACATAAAACTCTTTGTAATTGAATGAATAAGGGAGAATCATTGCCGGGAAAGTTCAGCTTCAGAATATGACTGCTGTGTAGACTGCAAATTAATAATAATAATAAAAAAAGTATGTGAAGTCTAAATGAGGAGGGTGCCTGTGCCATATCTTGAGCAAAAGTAGGGCACTCTTGGATGCAGGTTCGCCAGGGGGATTTTGAACCACCCACAAGGCTTTTGAGAGTCTCTCTGCTGTTCCTTTGAACGAACGAGATAATGAGTATGATTGAATTAATGACAAATGCATATTAGTAAATCTCATCACTATAGCCACAAAATCAGCATTCTGCATTACTGGGGCGGGGGTGGCGGGGAGCTAATCCTCCAACTAGTCATTTAGAAACAGGCCTTCATTGTCTGCTGCTCACGTCTATGCCTCGAGGATGCTTCAGCGAGTGCCAATTTATGCTTAATGTTTTGAACGCCAGTAGAAACAGACCCTCGATTTTAAATGGCCAAAAAACCCCAAACGCAGGCATTTCTTGTAGATGCCTGCTCTGGCAAGTGAAGGGCGGGATGGGGAATGAGTCGTGTCAGGAGGAGCCAATCAGCAAACCTGGCCCACCCTCCTTGCTGTAGGGGACAACACACATACAGTGCTGCCACTGCAGTGCTTTGTGGGTTGTGGCCATAGTTCATTAGCAGAGCCAGGGGCGTAGCTAGCTGCTCTGGCACCCGGAGTGGGAGGTTAAACTAAAGATGAAGCTAGCAATATTGATTGCATGTGATTTGCTTTCCAGGGAACACAAAATACTGTATTAATCTAGATCACTTAATCATTTGAAACCAGTATTATATCTGAGGTGAGAAGAGCAAGGGCTCAGTCACATCTCCCTATCCTTTTTCCAATAAATATTCAACATATTATTATCAATAATAAAACCAGCAGCACTATGTGGCCATAGTTCATTAGCAGACCCAGTGGCATAGCTAGCTGCTCTGGTACCAGGAGTGGCGGGGGAATGGCGAGCCGCCCTCGGGGGTGCCTCAGTGACCCGTGCATGGGGGTGCCACAAGGGGGCACTGCGGTAATCTGTGCACGGGGGCGCCATGGAGATCCACATACGGGGCGCCACGGAGATCCGCCAAGAGGGGCAGCGCAGCGTTCCACCCAGGGGGGTGGCGCGGCGAGCTGCCTATGGAGTTCGCCTGGGGGACGCAAGCCCCACGCTGCCGTTTCAGGCAGCGCGGAGCCCTGAGCCACTGCGTCACTCCCAGGAGAGACGCGTGGCTCAGGCACGCTGCAGGCCTGGCCCCGTGGTAAGTGCAGCCCCCCACGGTGTGGCATTTTGTCACCCCCCCTCAAGGATGACACCCGGGTGGACCGCACCCCCCTTCCTACAGCCCTGAGCAGAGCACATGCTTTGTATACAGCAAGCCCTGGATTCAATCCCTGGCTTCTCCAGTCAAAGGACTGCAGAAGCATGGCTGGGAAGACCATTCCCTTTGATTGCAAACTATACCTGTCTTCTGACCTTCTGATCCTGGTGTTTTCCTTATGCTAAAGATGGGTGCTTCCGTTTAGCAAAGTTGCTACTCCCCCACACGGAAGCTTTCATGGTTAACCTTAAGAACCAAGATTTGTGTTTTACAGATGCTTGTCTGCAGCCTTTTACAAAAGTGTCTGGATTGCAGGTGGCCACAAAAGCTCACAGGGGTTTCTTGTTTTGACTTGTGCTTGCCTTGTAAAGGTAAAGGGACCCCTGACCATTAGGTCCAGTCGTGGCCGACTCTGGGGTTGCGGCGCTCATCTCGCTTTATTGGCCGAGGGAGCCAGCGTACAGCTTCCGGGTTATGACTAAGCCGCTTCTGGCAAACCAGAGCAGCGCACGGAAATGCCTTCCTGCCGGAGTGGTACCTATTTATCTACTTGCACTTTGATGTACTTTTGAACTGCTAGGTTGGCAGGAGCAGGGGCTGAGCAACGGGAGCTCACCCCATCGCGGGGATTTGAACCACCGACCTTCTGATCGGCAAGTCCTAGGCTCTGTGGTTTAACCCACAGCCCCAAATCAAGCGGAGGCAGTCCACCTTGGCTTGTTATCCTGGATTTGCAGGAATCTTCTGCACACCTCTAGTAGCCATGCCCAGTGGTTTGTGGCCAGCATCTGATAATCCAAGATATACAGCCTCAGTCTATACTGACAGCGCTGGTGGCCTGAAAGCGAGCTAATGGTTTGGTAGACAGTGAACAGGCTGGTAATCAGGGATATACTGTGATGTGAGAGCAGTTTAGTCTGCACCTGAGACGCATTAGTCAGACGGAGGAGTCAGCTTCATAGGGCCAGATGGGACCTTATTTGTTCCTTGTGTCACCTGATCCCTGCCAGGCTGACCCCTGTTTTCCCATCCGTTAGATACTCACAGTTGTGCCAGTGCATCACAGCAGGGATCAGGCCTCCTGCTGCAAGCTGCCGCAGAGATGTAGTGAGTTTCACAGCCAACAACCACAGTTTTTGAGCCCCCACGATCCTCACATCTATCTAGAGATAGCCTTGGCTATTGCCCACTGTATTTTTAATGGGATCGTAGTTTAGACTAAATCACTTTTGTTTTAGTCCCTTCCAGTTTAGTAACTCTGATTGTAAAGGATCCAGCCATAATGGGAACAGGGGTGCAAGGGTTGTTTTCAATCAATTCCCCCCCCTTTTTTTGAATTTTATTTATTTATTCAAGTTCTTATGTTACATCGGTAAACATTATCATATTACATCACAAGACTTATTATACTATAATTTTCAACATGTATACAAAGTTTATATACTAAAAGAAAAGAAAAAAAACAAGGGCAAAAAACTATTCCAAAATCATATATATATACCAACACTTTGGACTTCCTGTCTATCCCATTGTATATTCCTTATTATTGTATATTTCTTTACATTTTATCTAATACATTCCTATATCAATATGTACCCTTGGTCTTATTTCTCAACTCAGTCTCTCTCCAACGTTCAATCAACTTTTTCTTAGAGTAGACTCACATACCCCTCAACAGTTCCAATTTCAGTGGGACATCCTGGAATTACAGAAGTTGTCTCAGAGCACCAGACCAAAAGATGCTCGTTTTTTTGCTCCCATGAGAGCTCAGGACTGATTTTGATCAGTGGGATGTTGGATGATATGGACTTATTAAAATTAATGACCATGACTGACTTAAATCTATTAATTTTTATGGTTTTACTCTGGGTATATGTTAGATGAATACAACCCTAAGAAAAAGGGTTTTGCCTAGAACAGTCTATTATTTTGCTTGGATTAACTGAATGGTTATCAACCTGAAGTTGATGAGGCTAGACATAGGTGGAATCTACACACATATTAAAAAAAGTTCTGAAATTCTTCTTTTAAAAGCGTTTTTAAAAACACATTGAATTTTCCATGAGGCTCACCATCGCCACCTAGTGCCAAGTTGTATATTGAATTTAAAACACACGTAAAACGTTTTATTTGCAGCTGTGTAGCTGAGTCTTCAGTTGAGGGATGGCAAGTACAGGGTGAGTCCTTTAAAAGAGGCCCTGTGGATACAGAGTACACATGTTCCATGGGGCCTCTTTTAAAAGACTCACCCTGTAGCTTGTGGTTTTCAGGGAGGACAGAGTGAAGATAAGAGAGGCAAGTTGGAATTCTGTTAGATTTCAGGTTGTGAATCCGTGAACCTCCACCTATACTCAACATGTATATATGTAAATAAATGCAAACATTACAAAATGTAATTCTAAAGGGGACCAAATCAAGGCAGCACTTCACCTCTTAAACCTCATTTGGGGAAGCACAGGTTCCACACACAACCACTTTTCGCTGTTTCTTGTACCTTGTGGGGCAAAACTGGGTACAGTGGTACCTTGGTTCTCAAACTTAATCTGTTCCGGAAGTCCATTCCACAACCAAAGCGTTCCAAAACCAAGGGGCGCTTTCCCATAGGAAGTAATGCAAAACAGATTAATCCATTCCAGAGTTTTATAAACAACCCCTAAAACAGCAATTTAACATGAATTTTACTATCTGCCGAGACCATTGATCCATAAAATGAAAGCAATAATCAATGTACCGTACTATAAAATAAATATGACAGTGTTGTAGAACATAAAAAGTAAAAAAAATATTACCTGCACTGATGATAGTCATTGTAGCTGAACTGGGTTCCACACAGTCACAAAAACAAATTAACTGAAAAAGCCTCAAAAACAAAAACGCAAAATAAATAGCAAAAACAAAAGCCCCAAACTTAATCCATTCCGGAAGTATGTTTGACTTCCAAAATGTTCGAAAATCAAGGCGCTGCTTCTGATTGGTGCAGGCGCCCCGGAAACAATAGCTGACAGCCGCATCGGACGTTCGGCTTCCGAAAAACGTTCAAAAACCGGAACACTCACTTCCATGTTTTCAGCATTTGGAAACCAAGGCGTTTGAGTACCAAGGCGTTTGAGAACCAAGGTACCACTGTACAGTGAATGCACAGAGGACAAGGAAGTTGGATCACAATGACAGCATTGCCTGCGCACATTCATTGGCTCACCTGTAAAGGACTAAGTGCATACAAGCAGTGTGCAGTCTCTGTCAGCATGACTGGGAACACTGCTTTGCCAGACAAATTACAGTGGTACCTCTAGTTATGAACTTAATTCGTTCCAGAGGTGCTTTCTTAACCTGAAACTGTTCTTAACTAGAGGCGTGCTTTCGCTAATGGGGCCTCTTGCTGCCGCTGCGCCGCTAGCACACGATTTCCGTTCTCATCCTGAAGCAAAGTTCACAACTCAAGGTAACTCTTCCAGGTTAGCGGAGTTTGTAACCTGAAGCGTTTGCAATCTGAGGCGTTTGTAAGTAGTAGAAGAAGAAGAGCTTGGATTTGATATCCCGCTTTATCACTCCCCTTCAGGAGTCTCAAAGCGGCTAACATTCTCCTTTCCCTTCCTCCCCCACAACAAACACTCTGTGAGGTGAGTGGGGCTGAAAGACTTCAGAGAAGTGTGACTGGCCCAAGGTCACCCAGCAGCTGCATGTGGTGGAGCGGAGACACGAACCCGGTTCCCCAGATTACGAGTCTATCGCTCTTAACCACTACACCACACTGGTTCTACTGTACTGGACATCCGGGTTGGAACCCCCCATCTCACCCTTCACTGTGCTCAGTTGGTCACATGAACTGGGCATGTTATCCATGGGTAGCAATTTTCTAGAAGCCAATTTTGTGCTTCACATTTGAGATTTTGTTTCCTTTTAACTTAGTGTCCTATTATGCTGAGTTAGTGAACAAAGAGGTTTTCAAATATGCTTTTCCCTCTCCTCAGAATAATTCAAGGCATGCTAATCAGATATGGAAAAAAGTAGCAAATGAATAATTGATAACCGAGTTCAGTGAAGCAAACTACAGTATACTGAGGTTAGGAGGAGAATTAATAGAAAGGCTTCATGCCCTAATCCTCATCTACATGTTATTCTAATAAACCTCTGTGATGGTCTCATCTTCCAACTGCTTTAGGAAACAACTCCAGATGTCAGGGTCCTCAGATTTTTTTTTGCACACACACACACACACACACACACACACACACGAGCTGGATGCCCAGACTAGAGTTAAATGCTAGTATTAGCTGTATCATGTAACCAACCCAAGTAGTAGTACAGTGGTACCTGAGGTTACATATGCTTCAGGTTACATATGCTTCAGGTTAAAGACTCCTTTAACCCAGAAATAGTGCTTCAGGTTAAGAACTTTGCTTCAGGATGAGAACAGAAATTGTGCTCCGGCAGTGCGGCAGCAGCGGGAGGCCCCATTAGCTAAAGTGGTGCTTCAGGTTAAGAACAGTTTCAGGTTAAGTACTGACCTCCGGAACGAATTAAGTACTTAACCTGAGGTACCACTGTAATTCCACTATCCAAATTTGGGCTTGAGCAATTGGTAAGTATTCATTTGGAGAATTTGTATGCCTGAATAAACAAATATCCCCCCCCCCTTAATCCATATAAACATTGACTCTTGCCACAGGTACTTGAAGCAGTCAAATGTTTACAAATTCATGGCATAAATTAAAGAAGTTTCCTGGTTATTATTCTCCCCAAAGAAACACACGTTTATAGTGGTTTCGCTCCTAGCCAGACTATTAACCACACATTGCCCTCTGGGATATCTTTATTACAGTTTGCTCTCAGGTTACATTGTCAGTGATGTTCCTTCTTAATGAGCCATTGTATATTAACTTTTGGTAGCAAGAAACTGGACTTTTAAGCTGCATTAACTCCATGCTGAGGGAGACAGCACAAGTTAAGTAAATTGCAAGACGCCTATATAAGACTTTGATACAGACTGGTTCAGCACTGTCGAAGCCAGGAATGAGACACTATCACAAGCACAAGATGTGAAGGAATCTAACTGTTATGTCATTTGGGGTTTTTTTTGTTCTAGGCTGTAGAACAGTTGCTTTTCCTCGGAGGCTACTACTCACTGCAGGGCCAAAAGTTCAGTCCAAGAACCTGATACTTAAGGGTGGGAATGAACTTGAAAGGCTGAAGGGCGGGTGAGGAAACCCAAATAAATTATGAGAAAGTGAAACAGAAGCAGTATTCTTCTGGCTTGCCAAAAGCTTGAGGTGGGAGAGTAGAATTAATTTATTAAAATAAAGCTGGTATGGATTAGCTGCCAAGCATTAGCTTATGTAGAGAAACAGTTTGAACTAGGCTGAGCAGGATGATTTCCTATCTCGTTTTAATTCCCTCTATTGTTTACATGTAATTGTTCAAAGTGTTTTAAAATGAGTTTTCTTCCCCTTTAAAATATTTTCTCATTGTCTCCTGGGACATATGGATGCCAACTACGTGTGTGTGTGTGTGTGTGTGTGTGTGTGTGTGAGTGAGAGAGAGAGAGAGAGAAATATGCTCTTATATTTTGTTATTTAGGTAAAGGTAAAGGGACCCCTGACCATTAGGTCCAGTCGTGACTGACTCTGGGGTTGCGGCGCTCATCTCGCTTTGTTGGCTGATGAAGCTGGCATACAGTTTCCAGGTCATGTGGTCAGCATGACTAAGCCGCTTCTGGCGCACCAGAGCAGTGCACGGAAATGCTGTTTACCTTCCCGCCGGAACGGTACCTATTTATCTACTTGCACTTTGACGTGCTTTCGAACTGCTAGGTTGGCAGGAGCAGGGACCGAGCAATGGGAGCTCACCCCGTAACGAGGATTTGAACCGCCGACCTTCTGATCGGCAAGTCCTAGGCTCTGTGGTTTAACCCACAGCGCCACCCACGTCCCTATTTTGTTATTTACCCCATGCCTATACAGCAGAGTTGAACGAACATATCATACCGTGCAGAGTGTAGGATGGGCCAGTAAACAAGTATCAGGGGCCAAAAGGTTGGTTAGTGGAGGTGGCAAGGGACTAAAGAATGGTGATGGAAGGTTTGGATTAGCTCACTTGATCCCCTCCTCTCTAGAGTTCATGCTTTTGCACAAGGCAATGGAAATAACTGCTCCAGGCCTCCTTTTTCTCTGTTCCCCATATGACTAGGGCTACTCAACACAGGATGTGATGTAATCAGGCTGTGATTTCTCTCCCCCCGCTTTCATTGGCAGAACTCACAGTCTGATATGACATCACACTGCGTATTGATTTTCCCAACAACGCAATACAAAAGAGAAAAAGGAAAAACAAAGCATGGAGCTGTTGTGGTTTTTGGCACCAGCTGTGTGTTTGCGACAACATCTAGTTCCAGCCAGAGTCTTATGACAAAAACAGACAATATTTCATACTCAAGTGGAAGTTGTACTAGGCAAGGGGGGAGAACTGTCCTAATTATTATTTCCAACTAATTAGAAACAGCACCATGACTAATAAATCCCCAAGCACAAAATGACTAATGACTAGGTATTTTCACTAGCAGGCAGCACGTTCATCTTTAAACATGAATATTGGAGATCTTTGTTCTATTTTCAATCTGGAGCAGACCAATCAGTTGAGTTTTAAATTGTCATTAACACCTGTCAGATTATGCAGTGGATAGCACAAAATAAGAGAGCAACGGTCTTTTGCTGCTATCCACAGTGTAAGTGAGATCCAGCACCGAAGTCGGGTTATCTGAGCTCTGTAAATCTGAGCACCCAAATTAAGTTAATGACCATGAATTTTAAAAGGCGGCCGCTGAACGTGACCTCCCGGTTTCAATAAACAAATCCTATGGCTGAGATGGCATTTTATTCCTTATTTTTTTATTTCTTCACAGAACAGGAGCTTATGAGTCACAAGACCCAGGGCAGTATGCTAATGTTCTTGTCTGATCAAACATTTAATTGGGCAACAACTCCTGTGATTTAAGGCATGGAAAGTATGAACACAATTATTTGTCATTCCTATTGCACTAGAAGCATCTTTTTCGAGACTAAAACATCCTCATAAACCAAGGGCAGGGAACCGTTTTTGGCACCATGGGTCAGATCCTTATCAGGATCAGTCTCACCAGAGGAGGGGGGGATTTGACAGGTGGGTGGCCCTGTGAACCTTTCAAAATCCCTTGTGTGGAATATCAGATAGTTAGCTGGGTGTCAGGTGCTTGAGAACCAGCAACAGCCTCAAAGACCTTTGGCTGTTTGCAAAGGGCTTTAAGATATCTTATTCTCTTATCTTATGTAGGGTGGGGGTTGGCTGCTGCCTGACAGGCTTTTGCAAAAGCACTCTTTGAAGCAGTGTCCTCTCCATTTAGCATCACTTGGCAGTGTTTAAAGGGAGAAGAGCCTGCTTCAAATAGCACTTTTGCCAAGCACTTTAATACAGACCCTGCACTCCTGTCTGAGCCTCTGCAAGGACTCTGCACAGGGACTGCCTTAAAGCCCTTGGCACAAGTGCTCTTTGAAGATGCTCCACACTCTTTAAGGCAGGTGGATCCCTGTATTGTTTGAGTCCTTTGTCCTCTTCACGAGCATTGCTTGTACCAGTGATGGCAGCTGATAGGTGCGCTGGTGTGGTTTTGGGGGAAATGGCCTTGCAGGCCAAACTAGACACCCTGGTGACCTAAGATTGACCTACAGGATGGAGGTAACCCCCATGATGTTGGTTATCACTGTGGATGCAGACTTGACCAGATCTTTGGTTAACCTGTTCACAAGGGAATGACATTGGAGGAATGGCCGTCACCTTGGATAACTCTCATCCCATCCCATAGGAAGCACCAGATTGAGGTTATGACTTGTCACACTTGTCAGACCAGATATTAACTGAAACAGGTCCATAGATGCCATGACTTCCAGCTTCCTGGCTTTCAGCTGCCTTCTCCAGCAACAGTGGCGGTTGGAGTGCCATTGTGAATGTGAAGATAGGAGGTAATTGTAAATGTAGATGTCCTCCCCTGGGCACCATAAAATGTTTTTATGCATTTCATCTCACACAACTGCTTTTGGGGGTTCTATGAAACAAAGCATTTTCACACTATCTAGGACTGCTATCTCAGTGAAACTCTGCTCGTTAATACAATGTCTTAACATCACATTAAAAAAACCCCACCGAGGGTTTGCTTTTCTCTTTTTAATGACAAGCCATGATTCTTCCCTTTTAATACCAAGACAAATTATCCAGAATACTTGTGCTACAACGTGGGATGTTTCATGCCTAGGCAAATCACATCGACTAGCCTCCTATAGCTTTTACAGAATGCCTTCCTTGCAAGAGTTTTTGCTTGTCGCACTCAAGAATTATTACCCTCCTCCATAGGAGTGTAATTACAACCCTTCCCTATAGAAAATTAATATCCCCATGTCCTGCTAGCAAGGCTAAAATAGTTGCAATGTTCAGTGTTCTCACCCAAGAGATGAAGATGACAACCCACAAATCTGAGACTCAAGCTGCCACTGCATATTGCCCACAGAGAAATTTCAAGGCTGATGTGCAAGTTTCCTCTTAGAAGAAACATCGGAGTAATTGGGAGGGGGGAGTTTTGAGTGAACTATCAAATTTCTCAGTTGGGCAGGGGTCTGCACATCACTGCCTGTAACACAGAGACAGCTTTAATGCACGGTGCTGGTCAACTTGTGGGGGGGGGGGGTCATCCACCTCTCACCAATGGTTGCAGTCAGGGAATTTCACACCCTGGTCTTAAGGCGGTCTCCATTTCAGATGGAAATATGCACTGATTCAAAACATAATAAGCCAGCCTTACTTTGTTTGGTGGTCCTCCTGCTCATTCCACTGGGTCAGGTCCTGGACTTCTGTCTTGCCCTGAGAGCACCACTGCTTCTCACCAGCACTGGTTCCCTTGTTAGGAGTCATTGTGAAGACACTCCTTGGGCAGTGGGCAGAATCAATAAGACCTGGGACTAGAGTTGCTACTGAATTTTATCTGAAGTGAAACTGCAAGGCAGATTTGGAGGTTTCTGCTCAGGAGAAATATTCAAGGAATTTTAAGGAAAGCAAATGTGGGAAGTCTAGCAAAATTTCTTAGGGGGCCAGATGTCCTCTGGATATTTATGAACTACAACTCATTATTTCCCCTGCCAATTGGCAATGTTGGCTGGAGTAAATACAAATGGGGATGGGGGGGGGTTACCAGTTAAGATTTTACGTCAATTACATTATGCAGACTCTGCAACGCTCAGTACTGATTTAAACAAACAAACCAACAAACCCAGATGCCTGGAAGCATTAGATCTCATTCAAACACTGATTGTCCACAGTAACATCTTCTGCATGGTGAAGACCAGAATCAGCACTTGGCAGTGGACCCACAATGTGGATGACTTGTCTGAAGTGGGTAATTTCAAGTACATGTCCTTTTTGGTTGTGCAGAAGAACCTATGAGGACTCAAACTGCACAGAAATACATGCTGCCCCCAACCATGTCACCTCTGTGCAATCAGAGTATCTTATTCAGCAGGAAGAATCTTTGTTGGAATCTCAATTCATATTCAATGCATGAAAGGTCAGGAGAGGTGGTGATGGGGAAACGGCCAGCATCCATGGGGACTTGGGAGTCTGCTTCCTTTGGCTGTGCGGACAGAGCTTCCATTTGCCTGAGATGTACCATCTTTCAGTCCCTTTGATGGAAGATGCAGGCCCCCAATAGGTAGAGGGCACTATGCAGCCAATATCTCAATCCCGAGCCTGAGGTCACACTCATTTTTCTTCCATTTGCACTGAAAAAATTGGATCTGATCCTCTTTTTTTATTTCCTTTTAACAGGCCATCAAACTTGTAGTGGCTTGATGGATACAGCAGGTGCCAAGAAGATCAAGTCTCTTCTGAATCACTACAGCTGTGAAGCACATCTCCAAATGACATTAAACATTTTCTTCTCCACATGATAAGCTCAGTATAATTAACTAAACTCCCAGCAAGCGGCTCACTTGAAAGAAGGGTTCCTGTTTTTAAAGTGAAATTATTTCCAGCACATCAGAAATATTCACAGAATGCTAACGGTCTCATCAGAAACAACTTTCACAAATTCCGTACTTATTATGTTGGTGAGTTACCTAAACTGAAAGAAGAAGAAAAAGTCTAGATGCATTGCTGCTCTTAGTTTAGCTGGTGCAGAATTATACCCAAAAGTATAAGTTGTTTGGGAGAACAGTTATAAGAACAAAGACGAGAATTAGGTTAGACCAGAGCTGGGACGTTTTTATGAAGAATGCTCCCAGATAATAGGAGAAGGTGAGTTGATCATCTTTTTATTGGAATTGCATCTGTTAAGTTAGGAGTTTGAAAACTTTAAGTTACACTGAACTTTCAGAATGGAAAGGAAAGCAATTTCCTACTACAAACAACAACAGAAACTTGTTTCAAATGCAGGTATTTCTGATCAATTTTAATAATGCCCTAAGCAAACGACTTCCCTCCTTTATTCCAAATAGGAATACCACAAATTGATATTTGAATTTGCCAGTTCTATCAAAAAACTATTTTGGCTCCCTTCAGAATGTCCTGCATAAGGAACCCCAGATTTGCTTTGGATTTATGGTGGGATTTCTATGGGAACACCAATAGTATATTGATCATTGTGCCCTTTTAGCAGGGCTTCTTATTCCTACCATCATGAGTACTGTAGCTCCCTGTGTTGCAATGACAGATGACACTAAATGGCCCTACATTCGGGAAAGGGAAAGGTAACTAAAAAACAAAGTGCGAGACTGGCTTCATTATTTTCAGATAATGGAGGCATTTAAATTGGACAAGAAAATTGGCTTCCAGGTGGAAAAATCAAAATTAGAAACTGAACTGTTAGAACCCAAAACTAAGAATTTGTCAAGAATGTATAACTTGCTGCTGAAATGGAACACTCAGGATGAAACGGTAAAATCGGCTATGATTAAATGGACACAAGACGTTGGACATAACATTATGTTCGCTGACTGGGAACAGTTGTGGACCACAGGTATGAAATTTACGGCATGTAATGCCCTAAGAGAGAATATTATGAAAATGATATACAGGTAGTACATAACCCCAGTCAAGCTTGCAAAAATCTATCATTTGCCCGATAATAAATGTTGGAAATGTAAAGAAACTGAAGGTACATTTTTTCACCTTTGGTGGACGTGCCCAAAGATTAAGGCTTTCTGGGAAATGATATATAATGAATTAAAAAAGGTATTCAAATATACCTTCCCCAAGAAACCAGAGGCCTTTCTCCTGGGCATGGTCGGCCAAATGGTGATAAAAACGGATAGAACTTTCTTTATGTATGCAACAACAGCAGCAAGAATACTCATCGCGAAGTATTGGAAGACACAAGAACTCCCCACACTGGAGGAATGGCAGATGAAACTGATGGACTATATGGAACTGGCGGAAATGACTGGTAGAATCCGTGACCAGGGAGAAGAGTCGGTGGAGGAAGATTGGAAGAAATTCAAAGATTACCTACAGAAACACTGTAAAATTAAAGAATGTTAGAGTGATGTTGGATTGAAAATAAGTGGTTTCCAGCTGTACAGGATTTAAAGTTATAGATAGACTAAGATTAAGGATTAGGATTAAAGAAGTTTAAAGAAATGGAAATTTGGCTTTTAAGAGGTAAAATTTTAATGTTATATTAAGATTAAAGATTGGGATTAAAAAAGAGGGAAAGAAATTGCTGGACAAACAATTTGAACTGGAATACAAAAGAGGGAGGTATGAGGAGGTCCAGCAAATAAGTAAATTTAAAGATGGAAATGAAAAGGTGATATTGTTTTTAATTGTTCTTTTTTTTCCTTATATTTTTTTTTCTTGTTCTTTTTTTTCTTTCTTTTTTGGATTATGTATTGTGCATTTTTGAATTGTGTATTTTTCGTTTATGTTTTTCTGTTCAATCTCTTATTCAAACCTTAATAAATATCATTTTTTTAAAAAAATACATTCGGGAAAGGGAAAGGGAAAGGACCCATAGTCCAGTCAAAGGTGACTATGGGGTTGTGGCGCTCATCTCGCTTTCAGGCCGAGGGAGCCGGTGTGGACAGACAGCTTTCTGGGTCATGTGGCCAGCAGGACTAAACCGCTTCTGGCACAACAGGACACCGTGACGATTGCCAGAGCGCACAGAAACGCCATTTCCTACGCCTGGGACACCTGGGCGATAAGAGCAATCCAATCACACCCAATTAATCAGACTTAACAAAAATAAATATGTAAGTTTCTGTCAATCCCATCAAGTATTACAAACAAATTGGTACAAATTAAAGATACAAATGAGTGCTACTATAAGCCATAGGCGCCAACTCTAGGGGGCCCCGGGTACCAGGGCACCCACACCTCAGAGCTCGATGCAACCTCCCTGGAGACGTTTGAGGCTGTGCCAGGTCTCCAAACATGACTTCCAGTATAAACTGGAAGTGACATCAGAGGTCTTGCAAGGCCTCAGATGTGACCTCCAAAACTCTGTGAGGCCTTGGAGGCAATGTCTGAGGCCATACCAGCCTCCAAACATGACTTCCGGTTTATATCAGAAGTTGCATCCAAGGTCTCACAAGGACCTGAGCTCTGAGACCTCGCAAGGCCTTGGAAGCACCGCTGCTGACATAACGTGACGTCCAACATCATGACATCATGTTACATCACCGGCGCCATTGGGCATAACCTGGGGCCCAAGTCAGCTGAAGATGCGCACATTAACAAAAACACAATGTTTCAATATAACGCCACACAGAATACACCTGAGCTACATTGTTATAGTCAATGTTTAGTCAATGTTGCTCTGGCATACCCCTGCAGTGCACAGCCTGGTGCCTCCACCTACAACAAGCTTTTGAATGCTAGGGTATGAAACAGGTGGCGGCGTTGCCCCAGTAACAATTCATTCAGCCTCATTCTGACTACTAATGGAAATAACAAAAAGGCTTGTCAGCAAGAGCAAAGACAGCTCAGCCCCAAAATGCCAGCAGGAGCAAAGGATAGTCTTAGTATGGAGTCGTAGATAAGATATCCTCGTGAAGGCAAGCCAAACAGTAATTCCTGCTTCCACTCTCTGCTCATCACAGTTCTTTAACACTTGTAGCAAAACTTTATGAATGAATTAATACAGCACGTAAAATAGTCTGGTGTCCTGTTTGGCTAATAGGTCACTGCTATAATTTGTATAATCTGTATTTTCCCACATGTTCTGATGTTATTTGTCATGTGAGACCAGGTGTGCTAGAATTAGTTGTCATGCAAGAAGCACCAAAAAATGCTTTATGGCAGGCATAGGCAAACTCAGCCCTCCAGATGTTTTTGGGACTACAACTCCCATCATTCCTAGCTAACAGGACCAGTGGTCAGGGATGATGGGAACTGTAGTCCCAAAACATCTGGAGGGCTGAGTTTGCCTATGCCTGCTTTATGGGCAAATATACAGTAGCACCAAATAATTAGTACTCTGGGGTTTATAAGGCAGAGCTGGTGCACGTAAGGTTCTTCACCATGGGATTGTATGTGTGTTTGTCCACTGTTCATGGCCCCAGCTATACACGCTGTGTCAAAATAATGCATATTGGAATGTTATTGCTAGGTGTAAAATGTTGCCTGCATGGCTTATTCTGGCACTACACCTTCATGCATATGAACAATTTTGCTGGGAACCAATCCAACTCATGCGTCTGAGAAGCGAGTAAATTAGATTTCCTAGGATCCTGTTGGACCACAGCCATTCTTTTTGAGACCCATCATCTCTCACTGGAAATTTCTCTTCCCTTCAGCGTGATCGACACTGTCATTTATTACCTCCACTCCACCAGACTACTTGGTCAGGATTAGATTAAATATATTTATTAGATAGTAGCCTACACATAATGTGGAAGTACAAACACACCAAAAGGGTTTTTCACTTTGTAAGTTAAGATTCATAGGTCTGATTCTTGCTGATGATTCTCCAACGATACATCAAATGCAACTGGAATTCAATTGATCTGGTTCTACCTATCGATCTGCTCCACTTATTCATAGCAAGCTTGCCTCTGTCAGCCAGACAGCTGCATTTGTCCAGATAGCCACCATTACTGGGTTCAGCCAAAGCATGAACACCTGTAGCTTTTGTATTTAAAGGGGGAGGAGAGAAAAATAGATGTCACTTGTGACAGAATGAGATTCTTAGCATGGATAGAATGGGGAGGACTCACAGGCTACACTCACATTGCTGTTTATTCCATATTCCATTTCCCTGTTACGCTTTCCACATTATATTTGAGACTTCACACATCATCAACACCACTGTTGCAAATAATATGGAAATGTGAACTAAACTTGTGCTGTATTCTGCTGTGTTTCCAGAAGTGGCACTGCTGTTGTGCGAAGGCTCAAATGTAACGTGGAAATTAACACTTAGGGAAATGTCGAGGAAATGGAATACACTGCCATGTGAATGCAGCCAGTCTGTAGCTCATGAGGGAGTGTGTGGAAAGTGGAACATGTAAGCAGCCCATCAGAGGAGGAAATTAGCCCAGAAACGATCAAAGACCCCTAAGTAAGAATGGTGCAATGAAGGAAGAGTCATATTGAATCTGTATCACAATGATTCCAGAATTAGAGTTTCTGAGATTTTCACCCATTTCCTATAAGGAAAAGACTTCTGTGTAGGAAATCATGTGAAACCCACATCTGTGGTGATGAGTCCACATTTCATGTGCATATTCCTTTAAAATATGGTATGTCATGGTTTCACACAATTCCCTACATTCTAGTTACAGCTAGGTAGCCCTGTTGGTCTGCCGTAGTCAAATTAAAAAAAAATCCTTCCAGTAGCACCTTAGAGACCAACTAAGTTTGTTATTGGTATGAGCTTTTGTGTGAAGAAGTGTGCATGCACATGAAAGCTCATACCAATAACAAACTTAGTTGGTCTCGAAGGAAGGAATTCTTTTATTTTGTTACAATTCCCTACAGTTATTTCCATTTAGGAGTGAAACATTCGAAGTAGTTGTCTGAGGATGCTAACAATTTCCCAGCTTTTTGCTTCGTATAACACACATCTAGAATATACAGAGGTATGGGCTACAAACATTTTTATATTCCTTTTTTAGTCATTTGTTTCTATTGCAACCTATTCCATTTCTCTCCTCCACCTTCATTACCATAGTTATTTGTGTTCCTTCCAACAACACTATGTAATGTGGCCAACATCTGCTGCTTGAAATTCATCTTCTCTCATCCTTTTCATGGAAGATGGTTGTTCATACACCATAGTGGCATGTTTCATAAAGTTGGGAGAGGGGAGGGGGAGTCCTCCTTAGTCATATAAAGATTTTTGATTGTGTGCGCAGGCGTACACTATTTTTATTCAACATTTCCATTAAAGAAGCCAAGTGTGCTGGTGGCACAGAAAATTTATCTCTCTGCTGCTCATTCAAGAAGAAGCCAAGGCTTTGGCGGCTAGATTCTTAAATGTACAGTCAGATTCTTCTTGCAATATGAAAGCTACTGGATTCTGTGCTGTTACTGCTTTTGCACAGGAAATTGGGTTGCAGGGACCTTTGGCCATAAGCAGTGGTGGACAAACTGCCACCCTCAGCCCATTTTCAAAAGTCCTCTGCAAGCAATGAGTTCAGACCTCTTGCAATAACAACCTGCCCCTCCTAAGCAACCTGCTGCAAGCAGGAGGAGAGATAAAGACTGCCAGTGCCCAGTTTGGGCTATGGTCCCACCCACTGCCAGCATGCACTCACTCTCTCAGTTGCCTGCAAGGGACTGTGTGGATCCTTGGGTTCAGTTCCCCATTCTTGATCTAGGTCACTAAAGATGTCTTCCTAGCTGAACAAGATGGATGGAAAATTTGACAAGAGCAATCTATCAAAGTAACTAGGAGTCTAGATTATTTATAGGATGGCCTGCTCACTGAACTGGGACTGACTCAAGACCAGGAATGCAAAAATGTAGATATTCAGTATGCACTGGCTCCTAAACAAACACACACACAACTGGGCTTGGTTCAGCAGTCAGAAGACCAGGCTTCTTCTATCTAGCTCCTAGAGAATCTCACTGACTTTGGCATTTTTCACAAGACTATTCATTTATGTCTGCAACAACACAAATTCATTAATCAGCGGGACATCTGATTTGCATAAATGTGCAACTGACTTATTTGGTCTACCCAGAAGAGTATGACTACAGATTCCATTGCAATGTCTTTGTCCACACTATGGCATTAACAATCGTAGCTGTTTGTCCCATAGCATACCATTGCTTATAAAACAGGATGAGGGTGACTTTAGTATACAACCTAACTGCAGTCTTGGTTATGACTAAGGTTAAAGGTATAAATAAGCTGCTTCTGGGTACTTGTGGGCCTATTGAGAGCACCATGTTTGGCCTTACTGAACAACATCAAGAGGAGGGCTTCATATGTGTAGCACAGATAGAAAGGCTTTCAGGTTACTTGTACAGTGGTGCCTTGGGTTACAGATGCTTCAGGTTACAGACTCCACTAACCCAGAAACAGTACCCTGGGTTAAGAACTTTGCTTCAGGATGAGTACAGAAATCGCACGGCAGTGGCGTGGTGGCAACGGAAGGCCCTGTTAGCTAAAGTGGTACCTCAGGTTAAGAACAGTTTCAGGTTAAGAATGGACCTCCAGAACGAATTAAGTTCTTAACCCGAGGTACCACTGTAACCTTATTTTGTCTCCCTTACCCCATGTAAATGGAGCCGTGAATGACGGGGGGGGGGGGGGAGTGGTCCCACCTGAATTCCTACCTCCGGTGTTCTTCGTTGTGCAATGCCACACAACCTCAATATCTCAGCAAATGCAGGACAGGATTCAGAATAAAGGGAGCCAGGCATCACTTTTGTGGTCCCAAATTTTACTTTGGTGCCATTGTACTCAGAGAATTAGTCTATTCCTAAAAAGCAGGTGCTTCTTTCAGAAAACATGTGCATGCATTCAGACTGGAAGACCAACATAATACTAAGTAGAAATATCTTACCAAATATTTTAACTTTTTAACTGAATTATACACCAAGGCAAAACGTTTCATTAGATACCGAAAAATGATTCCCCCCCCCCAGATGTTCTCTGCTGAATTATCAAAAGGCAGAGGTTTCAGAGCATATTCCAGGGAACTCTGGTTATTCTTATCAGAAGTTCCTTAAAGAGAAGGTCAATAGTGCTGGAAAACCTGTTCCAAATGGTGGTAGTGGGAGCAAGCTGCCTATCTTCTCTGGCAACGGGAAGCTACAAATAAGCTTTGGCTATATTCTATATTCACTCTTTAGAATGCACTAGGTAACTTTAAAGCCCATTAGGCCTGACCTCTATGTAAACTGACTGTGCATTGTACAATATGCCATGGAAATATTTGCAATGCACAGGCTAGGGTTTTGATCCAAACCCTACAAATATATAAATTCATCAAACCAGTATATAGATTTGTGATTTAGTCTGCTGAACAGCAAACCTTTATGGTGAAACCTTTATGGTGAAAAGGCTTCCTTGCTTGCTTGCTCTTTCTTCAGCACTGTAAGGCTGCTTGTGGGCAACATGAACACTAGAAATGGAAGGTTCTGTTGCTTTTGGCTTTCTTGATTCTCATTTTTCCAATCTTAAATTCAGTTCTCCACATTTTGGCAGCACTTTGCATTTTTGTTTTTTTAAAATAATCCTCATGAAAATTCACAGGCGTTTTAGTGCAAATTTCTCCTAACACTTTTTAATGCAGTTTTGACCAATGTACATTGATTTTCCCCTAATATGACACATTTTCATATTTTATTTCACATATATATTAATTTTTATGCACACTTTCCTCTAACATATGCATTTTTGTAAACCTGTCTGATTGGGGAACTGCATTGCAAAATCCATATAAAGTGAGGATTTTGAAGGATGGCTGTGTTTTGGTTCACATATCATTTTAGAAAGTGCAATGTAAACTGAATCAAATTTCTTCCCCATCCTTGATGGTGGCAGACACCTTTGCATGGACACAGGAAACCATGTGCAGTTTCTTCCTGCACCATTTTGAAAAGTATTTGTACCCAGTGCACCAGAGGTCCTGTTCACTGAAGCTGCTCCAAGCAGCTTTGCAACGTGTTAAAACAAGAAAAGGGGCAAGAGATCAAACGCTCCATACACCTTGAAAGGACTCCTAAATTGCCTCTTCCTTTCGCTGATTATTTTTAAGGTTTTCCCCCAGAATTATTCCCAAAAAAATCTGCACAGGAACTAGCCCCAAAATATTTTAAGATGTCTATGTATTGGGGGGTGGGAGATGGGGCAGCCTGCAATATAACCATCCATTCCTAGTGCAGGAGCTCCAGAAGAGATGGACTTCAGCATATAAATGTAGAGTCAGTGTGGTGTAGTGGTTAAGAGTGGTGGACTTGTAACCTGGTGAACCGGGTTTGCATCCCTGCTCCTCCACATGCAACTGCTGGGTGACCTTGGGCTAGTCACACTTCTCTGAAGTCTCTCAGCCTCACTCACCTCACAGAGTGTTTGTTGTGGGGAAGGAAGGGAAAGGAGATTGTTAGCCACTTTAAGACTCCTTAGGGTAGTGATAAAGCGGGATATCAAATCCAAACTCTTCTTCTTTTTCTTCTTAGGTGACAGGGGTCCCTTGAAAGTGGAGAATTCACAGAACACTTTACAGAACAATACTGAAGGGGCAGAGAGAACTAAAGACAGACGAACGGCCGTATTCAAGCCCTGTGGGGCTTACACCAATAAGGAAGAAATGGGGGGGGGGTCCTTCCCTCCCAGTGTCTTTTCTTAAATTCCCTCCCATGGGTTCCAATGGGAGGGCAAAAAACTCTGCTTGCTCCAGAGCTGATATTGTCTCCCATTACATAGACAACTGGGGCTTCCATTTTGGCCATCCCGCCTCCTAAAAAATCACCAATACCAATATGAAGCATTCTGATTGTCATTGTACATGCTGTCAAGATAATAATATCCATTCTAAACTTTTTTTCAGTTGGCAAAAGGATGTTTAAAGGGGCAGGGGAATAGTATAGCCTTGTGTCAATCTCCCCCAATCTCATGCCTTCCAGATGTTTGGACTACAGGTCACTCCAGCCCTGCTGAGGCTGGTGTAAGCCGTAGTCCCAACATCTGGAGAATGCCAGGTTGAGGGAGGCTGACCTACTGCCCAGGCATTGTAGAGCTATGAACAAAACCACTAGAGCTTTAACAATTCTAGGAGGCAAAGCCACGTGTCTAGCTCTGAAAACCACTCACTTCACTTACAGCCATTTTATCCATTATCCTGTGAATGGGGCCGGGGGTGGGGGGAGGCGTGCCTTTAAAGAAAACCAGTTGATGCAGGTGCTGGTGTTTACACTGAGCATTCAGCTGAGGAAGTGCTGCCTGGAATCAAAAACGACAAGTCAAGCAGTCCCCCACCCTCCCCGCTCCCCATTTAATAGTTTTGTAATTTGAGGATAATTGCACACAAACTGCAAAATCAAACGTTCTTAGTGCAGTTACAGAATCCTCCTCTAACTTTTGTCTCTTCGCTAAGGAATGCAGTAATAGTTCATTTCCTGCTCTGCCCCATTTCCAAACTACCTCCCTCCCCAGTCCCTGCCTTTCCCCTCAAAGTCTGTCAACTAGCTAAATGATCACAGGTGATTGTTCTCTCCCCCCTCTGCAAACACAATGTACCCACTTGAATATTATTATTTTTCCTGAGGAGCAACTCGTTTCATTAAGATTCATTCACAAGAAGCCTTAGCTGTGCTGGTGTCATTTTCATCAATGCCTTTGAAACGTTACCATAACCTGACAAGTCTCCCCCTCCCACCAGCCTTTGAGAGGGCTCAAACTACAGCATATGCTATAATAAATAATAATAATAATAATAATGGATAATCAGAGATGTTTCTGGCCAGTGATGAAGCTGAGGCACACTCTTAAGATTCACACACTTGACACAGATGCACGAATGATAGTGCAGTGTGGATGAATTCAAATACTTTTAAACACTTTTTTAATATAAAAAACCCCCACCCTGGATACTGCATATCCGGAATATTCCCCCACCCTGCTTAATGATTTGGCCTACGTCATTTTAAAAAATGACAATGGAGTGTTCTATTGTCCCATTGCATTGCAATTTAATATCTTTATGAGAAATGCAAACTGATGGCACAATGCCCATTACAGTATCTATGAATTATTCAAGGCATTGAAAAGGGACAGCTGATTTCCTTTCCTTCCCCTAAAAAAATCTTGGAAGCAGCATGCTTGCCTTCCTCAGCGAAGTGCTGCTTCTTTAGGGTCAGCCTGGCAATCCTTTTACATTACCAATCCATCAGGTTTGCAAAATCTCTGAAGGAGCACCCCAGCTGTTCCATGTGTATTCACAAGGCGCAATATTTCCAAGGCTTCCTATCCAAAATATATCCTATTGCTAAAGACATAGTGAAAGAATCAAGGGCAAAGGAGTGTAAAAAGCTGTGGCTGTAGTTTCCCCGGATCATTAAAGATCAGGTTTAGCCAAGCCGCGGGCTCTGCAAGTAAACACTCTTTCGAACAACCATTTTCTGTAGTTTTGAGAGATCACAGGAAGACAGTTCGTGCACACAGAAGACCAGTTGCTTTTCACCCAGAAGTGCTAGCAGTGCAGTGCAGAATTTTGAATGACTCGATGCTACAGGAAGAAAGAGCATAAAACTTCTGCTCCCAGTTACAGTGCCTTCCACAGCCCTCTGGCAAAACCAGCCACTTTTCAGGACAAAACCCAGAAGATCCTTTCCTGCAGAAAACTCCCAGAACTACCCCCATGTGAACTGTAGTCCAAACATCTGGAAGGCACGGAAGACTGACACAGGGGTTATACTCCCCCGCCCCCAGTTAGTTGAAAGCAAGTCCTGCTGATCTCAGTGGAACTTATTTCCAAGTGCTTCAGGCTCCCAGCCTAATACTAAACAGGGTTACTCAGAAGGAAGTCCCTTTAGATTCTGTATGACATATTCCCCAATAAGTAAGTTTGCATGTATGCTTCCTGAGAAGCACTGGGTGCTGTTTTCAAAAGGCTTTAACTTCCAGCTGAATGTGCTTAGGCTTTCAGCACTGCAACATGATTCCCTGTGCATTCCTACCCCAAAATAATTCCCATTTAGCCCCATCCTAATATACATGCTTACAAGAAGAACCTTAACCTAAGGGGAATTTGCTTAGAGGAATTTACTTCAGAGGGAATCGGGCTGTTAGTCAACACGTGGCTGTTCCCCACTCCAAAAGACAAAAAAAACTTTCTACTAAAACTCACCAAGGCTAGGGGCTCAAGTCTGCTACCCTACCTTGGTTTCCTTAGAAGTGACCTGGGACAGCTCAGTCGGTAGAGAATGAGACTCGTAGATCATTGGTTCAAGCCCCATGTAGGGCAAAAAATCCCTACATTACAGGGGGAGTTGGACTCGACGACCCACGGGATCCCTTCCAACAGTACAATTCTAGGATTTACTGTTTCTAAGCAGACACACTTAGGGCTTCGCAACTCCCAATAACCCCAAATCACACCCCTCCTTTTAAAGAATAAACCTCAGCAACCTGTAGCACAATGGGTCAGTGTGCCTAACGGTTAACCAGAAGGTTGGTGGGTTCGACCCAGGGACGTCTGTGGGGAGAATTCCTGCACTGCAGGGGGCTGGACTGGATGACCCTCAGGGTCCCTTCCAACTCTACAATTTCTAACTCCCTAGGGACTTGCTTCAGAATCGACCCGGACTGGATCAAGCTTCCCAGAGAAGAAGTTCACACTCGGAAAAGGAGCAGGAGAGGAGAGCAGCTGTTTTTGTCTAGGTGGCGAGTTGCAACAGCTCCCTTCCAGCAACGCGGGCGCTCGGTCCTGGACCAGAACAGAAAGTGATGGCAGCGTGAGGATGAGGATGATGCCATCCAAAGGACCGAACCCCCTAAGCAGGAAAAAGCACAGTGCTTCCTTTGCTTTCCAGATGCGCCGATCGAATGCAGGGTTAAATTAAGTTTTACCAGACTGTATGCATGCATACAGTCCCCGGATTTGCAAACCAGTCCCCATACAAAATCCATTGAAGTTGAAAAAATGTCCCTGGGAAAAAATAAAAATCTGGTAACCTTAGGTTAAGTGCAGCGAAGTGGCCACAGGCAGGACCGGGCGGGCACGTGCGGAGTCTCGGCTACTCACCAGCTGCCCAGGCGCACCGTCAAGAGCAGCAGCAGGAGCTTCGCGCCGCCGCGGGGGCTCCACGGACGCGAAGGGAAGCAGGCACCCAACTCCGGCTCCATGCGCGCTCGGCGCTCTGGGTCCAGCTGCCACTGCTGCTGCTGCTGCTGGCGCGCCGGGTCCGCAGACTCCCGTCTCCACTTCGCAAATGGCAGCAGCAACACCAGCGCCGCCGCCGCCGCTACTTGCCCTCCGGCTGCTGCTGCTGCAGCCGCTGCTGCTTTCGCGATAATAGTTGTAGCAGCGGCGGCGGCGGCGGCGGCAGTTAAGGAGAGCGCGAGAAACCCCTCAGCAAACAGGTAGCCGCGGGTCCGGGAGCGGAGGAGCCGTCAAGGCGTGACTGGCCAATCGGCGCCTCAGCCCGCGCCATAAATGATCGAGCGCGCCAATCAAGCCGGCCCGGGGGCGGGGTTTGCTTTCCGTTCGAAAGCGGGGCTGAGGGGAGAGAGGAGAAATTGGCGGGCTGCTGCAGTAATAGGGAGCGGGGCTGCTGCTGGGAAGGTCTCCCGGGCTTGCTGCTTGTGGAGGAAAGTTGGAGGTTATTCGTGTAAACTGGGGAGTTGCTCCCTCCTCCAACTTTTTAGAATGGGGGGTGGGGTGCTTCCTAGGGATATTCTCTTTCCAGAAAAACTCTCACAGGAAAGAGCGAGGGGAAAACCTCCCCTCAGGAACAGTGGCGGGAGAGTTTCTCTCTCTGGATCTGCGTTGCCAAGCTCCGAAAAGGGGTCTCGGCTGAAGCAAATGATTATGCAGCTAATCCTGCGTTCCTTGCTTGATCAAGAGATTTCTTTCCACCACACAACAGATTCATTTCTCTGTCTCCCCCACCCCCGCCATTTTTCCCCTTTAAAGTTTCCAAGCCCAGTGGTTGTAGGAAAACACATATTTTAATCAAAGGGGAAAACACACATTTTAACGAAAGGAGAAGAAAGTGAACTGCAGATGCAAACATGTAGCTACTAAGGCTTTATTTCAGTTACTTACCCCCCCCCCAATATCTGTATTCTAATTCTTTATTCTACACCCTAGATATGCAAGTTCACATGGTTGTATTCAGTATTAATTAATATTGCCGCTATTCACTATACCTGATCCTCCATCTCAAGGGTGCCAATTTGAATAAAATATTGGGGGGAGGCAAGCCTTCAAAACTGATCACAAGATGCCCATCACATTTTGAGAAGGCCTGGCCCCCTCAAATATATTTTTTGGGGGGGGCAAAAGAACCTCGGCCCCTAGGAGTTGGCTCCTATGTCTATCACTTCAACTGAAACCAAATAGGTTTTTAAAAAAGGTTTGGCTAAGACACACCTGAATACTTCTGTGCAAAGTCTAGAAAGGAGAGGAACAAAAATAGTTTCTTTATAAAATAAAACGTTTGGTCCATGGTTCTACCAAGACATTTGGAGCATGCTTTGCTTGGGGCTAAATGGGAAATATTTGGCATAGTGATGGAGACACAAACCCATCACTCTACTTCACCTTCCTACCGCAGCTCATTGTGATTCACCGTGGCTCTTTTGCACTATAGAGCCTGCTCTTTTTGTGCTAGAGAGTGTAGATGAGGGACCGATCGTTTGATGGTGGTGAGTGGAGCTGTTTCCCGCTTTGGACCCCCTTTCCAGTGTAGGACATATCCTGAAGGCAGCTCTGGTGAACATTGGGGCACAGGGCTCTTTATCTCAGGCCCACATATTCGCATAAAGACTCAGCTGCAATGGAAAACAAGGTGAATTTGAACAGAATCGGAGAGCAGGCGGATCCAGAAAGAAAAATGTGCAGATGAGGTTGCCAACTCTACCGTCTTGGAAGGGTGCCTGTGCCCTTGGAAGCACTTGGCAGAGTGCGGCATGTGGGTGTTATGTCCCTTTGTTGCTCCATTAGGTTTGCCAAGGAACAAGGACAGAACAGCTGGCAATCTCTCTGAATTGTAGGTGGCAGTGGTGGTCAGTCTGTGGGCCTGACTTCTGGTCTGTATGGTACCAACAAGGTTGCTGCTGTATCTCCTGGACTGCTGCCTGTGGAAAGCTGGGAGACAAGGATAGTTATGAGCACCAGTTAACAGCTGCAATGGGTTGCCTTTTAGCTAAACAGATGCGAGGGGTGAATTTACAAAAAAGAGAGGGAAGGGAACAGCTGTAAATGGGAGTGGTGCTTTGCCTCAGCCCCTCTCACTTGCAGTGTGCTTCTAGGGCTCCATCTCTTTGGATTACTAACTGCCGTGGCTACAATACTTACCTGTTCCCTTTAGGGTTCTTCAGCTGAACTTTGTATGCAGTGGCTGAATGTTAAGCTCCACAGTGCCTGCTGCAATATTACAAGGCAAAAGGGATTGTGAGTATTTGACAAACGGTGGCAGTGGGGTATTTGCTACTGCTGCACCAAGTCTCTCTTCTCATATTTACTTTCAGCAGTACATGGTGAGGTCATACCTGCACATGAACATCTATGAGCAAAGATTCCCTTTCCCACAGAGCATATAATATACTCAGATTTCTGGTAAAGAGTCTTGGGTGCCCATTGATGGCATAACTCCAAGGTACAATGATAGAGGATGCTAAGATGTGATGAAATGGACCCCTAAAGAGCTCCAGCGAACATTATTACAGAATGGAATTGTGCTGTAAAGTGCATGCTGCAATCCTTCATGTACTTATTGGTAGGATGAATTCACAAGAGTCATTTTAATGCACTACTGCATGCATACAGGCTGGAATACATCTATATGACTAGATCTATGTTCATTTACAAGTAAATTGGTTTCATGTAGAATTGGAAGATGGCTTCTTTTTAAGTTCTACTGGGATAAGAGCTCAGAATAATGTGAACGCTTACATGTTCCATCACTGTCATGGTGTCAGGGATGGGTTGTTGACAGTTATCTGAGATGAATCAGGAGCCAAGAGGTGAACCAAGGAATTGGAGGTGGGGAGCAAGCCAGAAGTCAGGGCTGAGGACAAAGTCAGGGCCAATCAGCAATCAAAAGAACACACAGGAATGCACTTGAGCCAGGAAAACATTGTTGTGCAGGCATGACCTAACTTAAGCAGGACCTCCATAGTACTTCATGTACAGGAGGGTCCAATGGACAACTTGGGTGAGCTACCCCAGGTAAGCTGTCCAGGAAGATGCTCCAGCTGCACAGATCTGCATGTTTTCCTGTTTGAGACCTGGCAGCTCTTGCCACACAGGCAAGCTGACTCAAATGCTTCTCTCTAGCAATGTTGAAGCTCTGTCCTCAGATGTAACATGATTAGGATGGGTGTTTAATACTGATGCAGTGAAATATCACAAACTATAATATCATACTGACATTAAAAGGGAGTGGGTGGCCCTGTGGTCTAAGCCACTGGGCCTCTTGGGCTTGCTGATCGGAAGGTCGGCGGTTCGAATCCGTGCGACAGGGTGAGCTCCTGTTGCTTCTGCCAACCTAGCAGTTCGAAAGCACACCAGCGTGTGTAGATAAATTGGTACTGCTGTGGCAGGAAGGTAAATAGTGTTTCCTATCAGGAGCTCGTCCTACACTCGAGTAGGACACATGCCCGACTGGCAGGTTCTCTCCTTCCTGGCCGATCATTTGGGAGCTTCAAAAGCTTTCTTCAGTCCGAACATCACAGCAACCGATGCCAACAGACATCGGCACACTTAGGGATCCGCAGAGTCTTTGCAGCTTGCGTAACAGACCGCAGCAACTCAGCATTTTGGCTACTCTACTTTATTTACATATAAACACACACGGAGCACTGCAACATGGCTCCCTCTCTCTCTAGCATCAGACAGCAAAGAGAAAAAACAAAGGACAATAGTCCCACTTCATGTAACACAAACATCCTGTCTCCGTCACTTCCCACTTTGTGGAGTCAAAACATACACCGTCATGTGAAAGACAACAATCCCATGACTGCAATCATGGAGCAGGAACTCTGCCGATCGTCACAGTGTCCCATTGTGTCAGAAACGGTTTAGTCATGCAGGCCACATGACCCGGAAAGCTGTCTATGGAAAAACGCCAGCTCCCTCGGCCTGAAGCGAGATGAGCGCCGCACCCCATAGTCACCTTTGACTGGACTTAACTGTTCAGGGGGTCCTTTACCTTTACTGTATTGACATTGCAGCAGCAGGGATCAGTAACAAGAGCCTCGCATTTGGTATTCAGGAGGTATCATTGAGTCCTCCTTCTTAACAACCTACAAATGCAAAAAGTGTAATATTTTGTCAATAAAATTTGGCAGTAAGCCATTGCGGGGAGGACAGCATGTGTTATTTTGGCCCAGTAGCAAACCTAGCCGCTCACCAGGGCACAGTAGATATATTATCTTAATGCTGGAGGCCACCTTTTAGAGCTTATTATTTCTGGCAGGCTCTAAGGCACTTTACCCCTTTAGATTTGTGTAATATACACTTCCCATAAAAGACACTTGAATTTCCACTTTAAATGGCTTATGCCAACTAATCCACCTTCCCTGGCTTTAATCTCACACGCTCACAACTGAATGCACCAGTGATGGGCAGATTGGTACCCAACCCAATCTCTGAAGCAATGTTAATGAGCAGCATACCGCTGAAGCTTTTTGAGACTCGGCTGTTGCTATGGGGATGGAGAAAATCTGGCAGGAGCAGGAGCCACCACAACACGTTTATAGTAACCGGAAACTTTTCAGTTTGCAAGGTGCCTAATCCTTGCATCCAGGAAGTTCTGCATGGGCCACAGAGTTGTGCTTTTGCTGGTAGCTCGATTAGTCACAACACAAAGATGACTGCAGTTCACCAACCCTCTTGTATGAAGCAGAATGACACATCCTTTGCTGTCTGTTTAGGGTGAGCTTGCAAATACACTTTCAAGTCCAAAGGGTTGGAAGTAAATTTCACCACCAAGAGTATCTAGTTGGTCTCAGAATGAGCACATGTATGAAGGTATTCTCATTGGCTGTCCTGCTGAGATATTCCTTCTCATTTTATCTCTTTAGTAAAATTCTCTCTCTCAACCTTCAAAGGAGCTACCTTGTTTTTTGAGCCATTTCTCTTAATCCTGTGTTCAGACACTGTTTTGGAAACTTCATTGTCAATCACATTTCAGTTGCAATATACACAAAAACTTCCATAGCTTTTGCAATCATTTTGGGAGGACATGTCATGGCAACAATCAACAGACTGAGAAAGAGATGCACCCCAGACCTCATTCCAGGTGGCTTGGTCTTCCCAGTAGGGA